CTACTCGGGCATAACAACATTTTATCAATCTAGATTTTTTTATTCTCAGAAAAATTGACTGAAGTTGCTAGGTTTGAATCCCTGGGGTACACGAGCCTCTCTGTGTGGAGCTTACATGTTATCCCTGGCATGTGTGGGTTGGCTTACTCCCACAGTCCAAAGACATGCTCGTTAGGTTAATGGGGGACTCTAAAATGTCCCTTAGGTGTGAATGTGAATGTGGCTGGTTGTGATTGTGATGTGATTAACTGGTGAACAGTCCAGGCTGTACCCCCACCTCTCGCCCAATGATAGCTGGGATTGGCTTCAGCCCCCTGCGATCCTGAAAGAGAAGTGGTATAGGTCATTTATGGACGGATATCCTGTATGGCCACAGTGTAAGCCCTATAGTACTATCCTTGGCACCCTATGCGTGTCCAATAGGTACCAGGATTGGTTGAAGTAAAAAGTTGCCTATAACAAAGTGTTTCTATTTATTTTTATTTTTCAACATTAACGTGTGGAAATGGCTCGTAAGGCGTTAACCAGCATTTCCGAACGTTCACAAAACAGAATCAATGCTGGCGTCTCTTTGATTGCCTCTCTTCACAGGAGTGTAATCCAAAATAAAGCAGTCAATAATTTATTCCAATCTCCAAACACTGGCCTCAGGGAGATGTTTCTCCTCTGGCTTTTTCAAAGTGTGTTTTTTTTTTTTCTGCAAAGTTGGATTGGTGCATGCAGCCCCTTTTTAAGTCAACTTTATGAAAAGTAAATGAGAAACCTTGGCAGTAAACAACTTATGAAGTTGACTGATGTTTTGAGCAGGATTTAAATCAGAGTTTGTCGGAGGCAGGGTGTAGGACGTGTAAGCAGCCCCCAGGGCAGCTTTGTTGATTGGGATTGATTCTAGTGAGACGAAGGCCAATGTAAGCAACGTGATGGGTTTCAGACTGACACATCAGCAGTTTGTTGTTTTTTGGGCCTCAATAATAGAACTCATTCACATCACCGCATCCTTTACATATCTTATACGGTGATAGTCATATGGAAGCTAAATTCTACGCATTCTGAGTTCATCAAAAATTATTTAATGATCAGATGAGGTGTGATTTAAACAGTACATGTCACACTTCCTGTTAGTGTGAGTATGCTGTTTATGTCTGACCCATTAGTTCTCAAATACTACATTCTTAATACGAACGAGAAGTAAATCTTGAACAAACATGGACTGTCCAAAATCACACCTTTTCTCCTCTATTTTTCACCACTACTTCAGAAATGAGGAGTAAATGGAATACAGTAGAGTGCATTACATTTGTGACAGATTATCATAATCATCTATTCATGATTCAGCATAATCTCTGACAGGTGAAGCACCAGCAAACAGTTTGGGACTTTTGGGACATTAGTTTTTTTGTTCCATTGCCATTTTTTTTTAAGCGACCATTGAGTAAAGTAATTGGTTGCTTGAATAAAACAACTTAACATCATACAATAATAGGACATAGGGACATTTCTTTGATCTGTACACTAATCTCTACACACGATAAATTGATGACCTCCCCATTCATTGGTATCCAGGTAATTCTGGTGCCGTCCAAGTAGTGGTTTAGCTTAGATAGCATTCAGACTGGAATAACACATTTTTTGAAAGCTTAACTTTCCTTGTTGAATACACAGCTCGTTAAGGATAAAGGGAGCTCCAAACCATATCTGGAATCTCCAGTCCTAGTCAACTGGAAACAGCAAAAACTTCAGTGTCTTAAAAGAAAGTATCACCTGGGTTGACTCTCACACCTCTTGAAAGAAGTGTTCTTCTTTTCTTTTGTCCTTTTTTCTCATCTTCATTTTATCCAATCAATACGCTTCTCCACAGATTCTTTTCGCCTGACATCTGAACTAAATAAAATAGCGGAGCCCAAATTAAGTTGAAACACCTTGATAAGAGCCCTATTCAGCTATCATGAAATAGGCCTTGAACTGAAGCTCTAGCCATTACATCAACCGCACAGAGATGTGGATGAACACACACACACACACACAAACACACAGACCCACTTTTAAATGAATCTCATGCACCGAGCTGTGGAATTGTGTTTGAAGGTAGATTATTCACGGAGAATCGACTACAATTTCACGGCTTTCTGGAAATAATTAGCGTGACATTTATTCAGGCTTTATAATTGGTTAAGACTCCAGACCCTCACCTCTAATAAAGTTGTCATTGAACCTTTAATGCTGCTGGCTGCCATGACAGCAGGGGGGTTATTGCAGCTTGCTACTCAAATCATGTGGAAGGGTATAATGCAGTTAGGTCTATGGTGCATGTGTGTGTGTCTGTGGGGGTGTGTGTGTCTGTGTGGTGAGTAGGTAAGTAAAACGCGGTCAATTTTTCTCATCTCAAGACCTAATGAAACCGTCTGAATGGGAGCTGGCCAATTAATCAGTGATTTCTGAAAAGCTCTCCCTGATGTTGAAGTCCATCTTAAAAGCATTAGAAGGAAAACAGAACTTTACTTAAGTCATTGGAACCAATCATCTTGTCTTTCTTTTTCCTTCTTTAATTTTGTCCAATCGTGTGTCTTGTTTGACAATTGTTCGGGGGGGGGGGGGGGTTTCTTCTGTGAATGTTCTATGATGAACACTGAGGAAGTGTGTGGATTATTTTAGGATATATTTGGCCGAGGTCAGACAGCAGCAACCGAACATGAGTGGCTGATAAACTTTTAATGATTACAGTGTGGCTTATAATCTGATAGCAGGTACAGCCTACAAATTCCTTGCAATTATTTGGGTATACTTCGAGAAAGATTAACGATATTATTGATGACGATGATGGTGGTTCTGTTTGGTAATGGCGATTTAAGGATGTTTTTGATGCTGATTAGAACTCTGAAGAACAGCTGTTGATGTTGTGCTTTTTCTCTGGTCACTTCCTGTCTGCAGCTGTGTGTCTGATCTGACTTAACGCTGTTTGTTCTCACTTCCTGACGTTGTTTCCTCCTCTCTAGATCCTTGCTTGTGTTGTTCTTGATCTCTAATGTTTGTCACTTTGGATAAATGCGTCTGCTAAATGAATTGTAGAAAAGTAGAAGTTGACATTACCTTTTAGTTATAAATGTCTGACGTATACATTTTTTCAGCCTCAGTTAATCACATTCCCTTTTCAACTCATAACAAACATTCTGCTCCTAACCAAATATAGATCTGCTTTAAGGGTGTCTAACACATGTATTACAGTGACACAGACCTGAAAGAAGATTGACCCAAATATGGAACAAAGATTTCAAATAATATAGCCACACAATTACCAAGATGAATGAATTCATGAAACTTAGTACTGACAATCATCCCAACAGCCTCCACAACTCTCTTTTTCTTTCTTGATCTCGCTCATTCACTTTTGTCTTGCTGTTATTACGTTTATCCGCGGCCCTCCTCTCGTCTTTTCCTCCTTCAGCCTCCATTTCTTCACCTGTGGCTGTGAAATGTTTCGCTGCAGTCTTCATCTCTCAATTTTTCACATTTCTTTTTGTCCATTTTGGAAAAGGACAACCAAGTGTTTTTTAATTTGCACTTACACAAAAAAGGTTACTCTACTTGTTTCAGGCTCTCTTTGTTGGTCACACTTACACAGCGCTCAAGTTGTTCTTCTTTCCAGGTCACTGTGTTGCTGGTTCAGGATTTAAGACAGAAACTTTCACAGAAAAACAGTCATTTAAATACCCAATACCCAAATGAATAAAATTACCGGGGTTGAAAAATGGAATAAATAAGTACAAAGGAGTATTAGGGATCACATCAAGGGGGCAAAAATCTGAGATTTTTGAGAATTAAGTCATAAATTTATGCGATTGTTATTTTAGTCCTCTAGTTATATCAGAAGAGCAGCCGCCTGTATGAAAAATATGAACCCTAACCTGAGGTTTCATAAATAGGTAAATACTACTTTGTGTGTTCTGTGACACAGATTGATTGATTATGAACTCTCTGTGGAATGAGCTGCGTTAAGGTCTCTAAATATCTCATTAGTGGTGTTGGGGCTTTACGTATGCAGATATAAAAAAATATATATATTCTTTTAGCACCTCAGCGTCACACTCGTATATATCAGGACCCTGAAAAGATACTGAAAGAAACTGAACAAAAAACACTGACTTGGAAATTGTCTCATTTGTGGCAGAGGAAATGTCTTTGAGGGTTCCCCTTTCATCATTTTTACGCTTTTGATACAACCTTTCAGAAAACTTTTAAACATGGCCTCCTTTAAATGGATTTATGAATTTCATATTGTAAATTAACAACTTTATTCTCATAAATGTACAACTTTTATCTCTAAATTTACAATTTTAATCTCGGAATTTATTTTTTGGGACATGGCCTTAATACTCTATCGTAAATTAGATACTTGCGACAGGAAAAGTTTGTATAAATGATCTCATGTATCTGGGTTTAAATGTTTCAGTCAGTCTTATAGTTACTTTACTTTGCGTCTGGCCTTGGAGCAGCAGCTGAGGACCGTTATATTGTGAAGTGGTTCGTTTTAACCCTCAGAAATAAAACGGGTATCGACTGAGGCCTTCATGCTTCAGCCTGTATGCCAAAGCTATTCAAGCATATTCTTGAATAGTAAAGAAAACATGAAGAAACGTATTGATTCAATAGTCCAGTATACACCGTATTTATGTGAGAAGGAACAACATCCTGTGATCAATGAGACTGAAGCCTTGCAAAGATTATAGAGCCATCTTTTCCATCTTTGTCCTTCAGTGTCCTTGATTTCTTGTATTTTTTAAAGATCTTAATGTAAATGGAACTACTATTCTTCTTTTTTTTTATTTTTTATTTTTTGCTGTCCTGGTTTGTGTGTTCTGTTGAAGAAGGATTTATTACCTGTCTGCTTGACGAACACTTTGGGTTTCATCTACTGTTATTTTGACTGAATTTCTATTGCTTGTGTTGTTACAGAATACTTGTGTTTGTGTGTGTGCGCGTGTTTTTGTGTGTGTGTGTCCCAGGTGGCTGTGACATTTGCAGTGGGGTCAGAAGTCGGCCTTCAGAGCAGCAGTGACTTCAGTCAGATGGGGAAACCTTTCCTAATGGGCACGGTGGCTCTGGGTGAGGATCGGCTTTGTACTGTCTTTCTTTGTGTTTTCATCTTTTATCCTTTATTCTCATCCGATTCTTTTTCTTTTTAGTATAAGCTCCCTCCTTTTTCTTTTTTCTCAGCAAAGATTACTGAAAGTGCATTTAAGACTTTTTCCCTAGTGCACCAGCCACACCAACAAGATTTGGAAAAAGTCACCACAACCTTTGTTGTATAAGGGGGCGCACTCACAGTAGGCATAATATTCTTAACAAGACTCCTGCAGCCTAACGATTGAGGGGGGTTTCACACAAGGGACCAGGGCCGATCAGAGTATGCTTGATCTCAAAGTCTGGTTAATTTGATCAGAGTGAACACAAACTTATCATACTCATAATGTCCTTGGTTGTGAGTGTAATCAAGTACAGGGAGATGTGAACACAACCCTGCTCAAACAAGGAAGTGGGCCGCTATATGACAAAAATCTGAACGGCTCCTGTCACTTAAAAAACCCTGGTATCTGCACAACACAGGCCTGTTAGATTGAAATACTAACAGTTCAGCTTTTGAGCTGCATGCAGACTTTTACAGGGTTTCACTTTGATCACAGTGTTGGTCCGTCTGTGGGCTCAACTCTCATTGTGTAGAAATAAAAATAGCGATATATTGTACCTCAATTCTCAGCATATCGCAAAATATTTAAAATCGCAATTATATCAAATCGTGGGGCTTCTGGTGATTCCCACACCCAGTTCCTTCCCTTCTGTATCAGTTTATATGCACCTACCCATGTTCCTAGTGTTTCCTTGTGACTCCCAGTTTTCTACTTTTTGATGCACTTTGTTTAGGAACTTGGAGAATGAAGCTTTGTTTTTTGCATTTTTAATATTTTAGTTTTCTGCATGTGGGTCCTCTTTTAGTTTCTCTTTTAGTTTGTGACAATTTGGATTCTTCGCTAGTCATGATGCAGGGGACCAGTTCTTTACCCATGCAGGTTTTTTGAGGGGTCATGGGAGTTAGCAATCTAGTCCACATGTCAGCTATATGTTGAAGATGAACAATACCACTTCAAATCTCTACTCTTACCATTTTCCATCCAGACTTTATAAAGATAAAATGTTAATATTTTTCTTATGTCAGTTCTCTCTGATATGTTTGAGTCTGGTTTGAGCATTAGTCAGTTGAAACAATCAGATAATTGAAATGGGATTCATAAAAGTGGAAGGATAAATTGTATTATGTGATGCAGGGAAGAAACGAATGGCAGACTGCTCACAATATGTGTGACTGACCTTCTTTGCTTTGCCTTTGTATCAACAGGAGGGATTATCAATGTGATGCCTCTACTCTTCTCACAGATCTCACACAACAAAACCCAGGTAAATGTAGCTCTTTCCTATATTTGGCATTTCCTGAAGATTTGTAGAGCTGACAGATATATTCAGAGATGTGTTATGACGCACTGCGTGGAGAGGTGAAATGCTGAAACACTGCGGTGACCTTATGGCTAACTGTGTCTCACTGTGACCCAATGACTGGTTGTACTGAACTAATAAAGAACGACCCTGCCTGCTGTCTGGGTCCTTCTTTATTGGACAAGTCGGGTTACTGTGAGCCAACAGCTCCTTCCTGCTGTGTTTTTTTTTTGTTACAGGCTCCATCTAATATTGTAACATAACAAGTTAGGTACATAAAGACTTAAAAGAACTGGGTGCATATGGATATCAGATGGGTGACATGAAAACATGCTAATAGAAAAGAGTATAATTAAAAAATCACCAATCAAACCTCAATGATTAAAATCTTAAAGGTAATAATGACATGTACATTTTTTAATGTATTCATTTCACAAAAGGTCAGACTCCTTGTCCGATGACTGCTTCACGTAAACCTGATGTATGAGTCTGTTCAATGTGGTAGTTCCAGAGAGATTTAAGTCTCATCATGCACATCATGATCTATTGTCTTTGCCTTGCACTTTTTTCTAGTTGATAGTTTTCTAGTTTTTTTCTGCCGATATTAGCTCATCCAGTGGTTTTCAGTATTTGCTCATTTTACTCAGATATGCACCGATATTACTTGATTTATTGACCCGTCAAATAGCATTTAATTTGGGTTTATTATATTAAACTATTAGTTCTCTTTCACCAGCAGAGGGCGCTATATGGATTACAACAAACATTATCACTCTGTGTCAAGCATTATTGCACGTACTTTCGCAGTTGTGAGTGACCATCTTGTCTTCATAATATATCTTTTCCACAAGTGCTTGAAAACTGAATTTGAGCGATCAACACAGTAAATGTTTACATTTATATCTATCTCTACAGATTTCATAGATCTCAAAGATATATCGGCCAATATATTGGTATCGGTTTTTTTTTCTCCCAATATCTGTATCGGCCCCAACTATCTATTTTCCAATATATAACATTTCCCTTTTAAACCCCCCCCCCCAAGATTATAACATTTAAAATGTGCATGAAAACGTGAAGATCAAAATGCACTCACAAGTTTAAAGGACACAAATACCCCGTATAAATCCTCTAGTCTCTGATTGCGAGCCGGCAATTCTGCTACTACAGTTTCACAAAGTCTTTGTCAGAAGAACAAACTCAGCAACATCTAAATTACTACCTGCATGTACCTCCGCTTCAACAAAACAAGATGTATCATTACCCACGATATGATTTGTATATTTTGAAGTGTCTTTGGAGATGGATCCTTTGCATTAAATACAGATATTTTGCATAAAGCATGCAAAGACAAGGTCAGGAACACAGAGTGTGCAGGCGGAAAGTAGGGGAGTCGTGGACACTGACATAAAGAGTTCTCTTGAGCATTGTTTAGGTGCATCAATGACCAGATGTAGATGGATCGGGCAGAATTGTGATGATACATACTGTGTAATTATTTTACAAATGTGGGCTGTAACTCTGCCACATTAGGACGTTGATCACCTTGTACTGTTTTTCTTTATGTCCAGATTCTGTGGTTCAGAAGAGCAGTGCTTGCAGGTCTGACAACCTGCACTGTGCTCAACATCCTCTGGTAAGAACTTTAACCTCTTCATGTTCTGCTCTTTACCTCCTTTATTTGTCAAACAAATTATTCATACAAAACAACATCATATATCATATAAATATATAAATACGTGTGTCTGAATGAACTCTACATAGTGTAGAGGGCACATATGCCTCAAGCCTTCATTCAGATAATGAAGAAATTGAAGAAAAATCTTCAATTGACATAACATAAAATAATCTGAGAGTAATGCATTCAGGATGACACAGTAATTAGATTTCAATAATAAGAGTGTAGAACATTGACAAGTTGCCAAAACCATCAGCACCATATCATAAGAAAAGCTAAAATCTCAGGACACTTTGAAAATGGAGAGCTTCGATACTTGACCTACATAAAATAAAAAGTAATTAGTGTATACACCTTTTCAGGTTGGACTCTAGCTCTATAAGATTTTGTATAAATATTTTTTGTGTTCCAAATTTGTTGAAGATGGGGGAAAAAAAGAAAAAGTTGGTATAAACTGATAAATGATTGTGTTTGGATTCAACATTAAATCCTCATTTCTGTCTCTTATGATTACGATGTTGTCATCTTCATATTACAGTGAAGTCACTTTCTCGCATCTCATTGTTGTAAAATAGATATCTCTGAAATACAACACAAATTGTCTCTTAAGGCGGTGGTGCAGTGGTTAGGTTCCTGGTTTGAATCCCTGTCGGTCTTGGCCTTTCTGTATAGAGTTGTTCTCCTTCTGCATGTGTGGGTTCTTTCCAGGTACTCCAGATTCCTACCAGGGTCCAAAGACAGGCTGGTTAGGTTAATCGGTGACTCTACATTGCAAAAGCGGTATAGATGATGTATGGACATGTATGTCTCTTGGAATCAGGAATGAACTGATTTTATTTTTTTAGTACATCTCTTTTATTTCATTTTTTTTATGCCGACCATGATCTTGAGATGACTGCTACTTCTACTCGCTTTACCCCTTGCATAAGTGTGTGTTCTGCTGCTGTGAGAAAGGTCCACTGATGATAAAGTTCTCTGTTTATCCATCACCATGTACTCTGTCACAGCCAAACCTTCATTGTCTCACCGTGGGAAGCACTCATGGATGTTATCTACAACTTGACCATTTTTTAAATCCATGATCAAGAATGCTGAGGACGATCTGTCCAGTTAAAAAAAAAAAAAAGCCAAAAAAAGAAATTCCACAAAAAATACACTTTAGCACTTTGTCTGAATTTACTCTGCATTGGCAGAGTGTTTGTCCCGCAGGAGTGCATCAGATGTATTGCCTCCCAGGGGAGTGCAACACAGGACACTGGGTTATTTTTGTGAACGCATGACACAACCTCTCCTCAGGCAAAGGGTCTTGGATCCCAGAGACAGAACATTTAAGGGCGGTGGGCTTTGTTTCAGGCACAGTTATCTTTCTGTTAAAGATACAGTGGTGTTGAGGCCACATTTTCAGCCATAATTAGCAGGTATTGATTGATCAATATTTAAAATACTGCCATAAAATAGTTTCACTTTTGTGTGGTTGTTTATGAAATGAGGCTTTTATTGAATTAAGGTTTAGTTTTAATGTCTACACGACATGTTTTAGAGTGGTATTTGATTCAGAACTTTTGAATGCAGGCTCGTAAATTCAGAAAAAGTAGTCTTTATAAATTGATAGTTTACAGACCAGCTTTGTAGTCAGATGATATTAGAACGCACTGCTGGACCATCTGGGAGAAGGTCAACACTTGCCACAGAAGCAGGACCCTCTGAGACCTTCAGCAGATGTTTGAGGAGGGTGGACACTTACAGCAGCAGCCAGTGTTGTAGAGGAAATCTGTTCCAGAGAGAAAGGAGGCCATCTGGCATAAACACCGTTGACAGAGGAGTCCAGATGCACCAGAGAGCGTGAAGCATCAACAATCTCTCGAAACCTTTTCAGCAGCTGAAGAGTGTGTAGAAAGGTGCACATTGTACCGGCCATTTCCAGCCCTCAACACAGAAACAAGCCTCAGGGCAATGCAGAGTGTAATCAGACTGCACTTATATTTACAATGGTACTTTAACCTCATCCTCTTCACTCAGTAAGATATCAGTTCTTAACAGTGGCTGTATGATTCTGTTGATTTATTCAACTATGTAGATATCTATGCGTGCACATTAGGGCTGAAGGACATGGGAAAAAACTATCGCAATGTTGTTTCTGTCTGCGATATGTTGCAGTATGAAAAATTACAGGATGTGCAATAATATTCAATACTATGATTTGATATGAAATGTGATCAACTAAAATTGAAGATCCCTTCAATTTTATAATTAATTAATTTAGAGCTATTTGCAACATGTTTCTCCTGAATCTTAAACAAATCCAAAAATCTTAATTTCTTCACCTAAATTGGCACCAACTAATCTGAGGGTGGCTGACAGCTGCTGGCATGAACTTCTTCTGACTGTATTAGAGCATGGCTGTAATACACTAGCCTCCATTCAGCAGGTAAATGTGCACAAGCAGAGTGAGAAAGGGTTGTATGTTTACATACAATATGTTCTTGTGTTTTGCAATAAATTCAGACTTTTGCCATGTGTTTCATAAATGCTAATCATGCAATCATGATACAGTTGTCTAATTGTGCAGCCCTTTAGTGCAAATGTTCTTAGGCAGCCATGTTTGCATGTTTTCTCCTTTAAAACCCTTTTAATGACAAATGGCATGCTTGGTTCCCTTAAATAATCACTCATTTAACTCACTTCCTTGAAAAATAAATGTCCTCATTGTTCTTGGTTATATTTTTCACATCACCAAATCTTGAAATTTGTGTGGTAGTTGGGGAGGTGCCAGTTCACTTCCTGAGAGTTCAATTTCCTCTTGTGGGATTGATAAAGTATATCTTATCCTATATATAAGCCCAAGACTCTAAGTGCATTAAATGTTGTGATATTTACCAAGGCTGCACACAACAAACAGTTTTCATGCAGAACAACACTGTAGTTTAAGTTCAAATGCCACAGCCCATTTAAATTCATGCTGTGCACCTTGTTTCGATCATATTTTAAAAACAAAAGGAGACTTTTGGATATTGCCAGAATGTTAAGATACTAAATGAAACTGCAGGCACATTTTGACCCACAGAAAATCCTCTGCTGCAGTGCAGCATGAGATAAGTCTTTGCACACCCATGACAAATTTCACTGAGCTATACCCAACAATTGGCTTTCTCTGACCTTTGGTGTACTTTACTGATCAGCTTCTGGCAAAACAACTTACAGCAGCTCCACACAATAAGTCTCCCTCCTCTGGGATACTTCTCTGAGATTTATGAGCTTCAGGCTGCATTTTTTTCCTTTTGTGTCCAACCTACACACCACATTGTGAGAGCGCTGTTCCGTGGCAAAGCAATGCTCTATAATGGCCGCTTTTTTTCACAGGGGAGCTGCAGTTATCGATTCATGATAACATTTCAGAACGATTTCAATTCTCTGCAAACAGGCTTCACTTTCTCTCAACACGTACGCAGAGCCCTTCGGCCAACACATTTCCTTTTACTTTTCCTTTAATTTTAGTTCAGTAAATATGTGGTTAGATAAGCCTTCATCTAAGTGTTCTGTTCCTCTTGAATTCGCCTTCTGAGAGCTTTTTGTGCTCTTTGGTACTCTAACCACTGCATCCACTTTCCTTCAGTCGCTCTAAAGAGACTCTCTTCACACAACATTTCTGCATGAGGTTTGGTCAAAGGAGAAATATCAGTCCTATCTTAGTACCCAACAACATGGGATTTGATTTGTATTCATAGTAGGGCAGCATTATCGCCATCGGGCAAGTGCATTTATATTGAACATTGTGTAGAGCAAAGATCGGCCCCAAAAAAACAGCTCAACCAGACTGTCCGCCTGCGCTCTGCCTTTCCACGTCGTATACTTTGTGAATACTTCGCTGTTTCTGAACCTACTGCTTCAAGGACCATGTCCCCTGCCACACTTTTTTGTTTTTTTACATTTACCCATAAAATAATCTCTTTTTATATGAAGAGTTTCTTCTTTGTATCACTGGAATGATTTTGCTTCTGAGCGTCCTGAGAGAACAGTTAGTTTCAGATCACTTCATCCGTACAGATGAACACTTACACACTTAAGTTTTACTATCAGTCAGTACATTGGACTGAAAGTATATTTAAAACAACTAATTGTTTTATAACCCAACCACCATCCCCTTCGTGGGGACTTTTTTCACTTTTCTTTCACATTTAAAACTTAATTTATTCAACATTTTCTTTTCTTTTAGTCTTTTCTATTTCAGAATTGGAGTTTAGTGTAAGCAGGTGGTGATTTTATATAACACATGATACACAAATGCCATTCTTCCATAATCAAAATCAAACAAAAACCAGAAGTAAGATAACGGTGTACTTCATACAACACAGGGACAAAAAGACATTTCGCATCAAAGTATATATTTGTTTGTCAGCCTTCTGTTGTTTTAGATGTGAAAGTATTTAATTGTTTCACTATTGTGCAAAGACATTATAAAACAGTATGAAATACACAAGAAGTATACAAGACGATAAAGAAGCAATCAGAGAGAGAAGGGGAAGTGGAGCTGGATCTTCTGTAAGGTGGACTTTAGAGGGAGGACAGAGTATGGTTATGTGTTGAATATGTTGATGTGTGTGTTAATGTTGTGGTGTGAAAGGTCAGAGTTTGTGTAGTGTTTATGTTGTCTGGTAATGGACTGCAGTCGGGGTTGGTTGGGGGGGGGGGGGTCAAAGGTCCACTGCTGTTGATTTGAGGACAGGACAGTGTGATAGTATAATGAGCTCTGAGCGCTGCTTTGCAGATGACCTTGACTTTACATCGTCTCTGGACTCATAGAAACAGAAGACAGTGTATGTGCTGCTGTGTAATACTTATTCACTGCTCACAGCTCACTCCTTCTGTCTAGACATCATGTCAGGACATTAAATATTGCATAAACACGCTCTTTTAGGATGCTTTTTTAAATATCAGTTTACGGTACACATCATGAAGATATGAGTCAACTTTGAAAATATGTTGTTCTCCAGACTATTAGTATTTAAACAAAGACAGAAACGTTCAGTCAAATATTGGAAAGACTCGTGGCTTTCTTTTTGTCCAACATTCGTCTCCTGGCTCCCGAATATCTAATAACAACTCAAAAGTTTGTGTGATGCATTTAAATTGGCATAATCTGTTCTTCAAAAGGCTTGACGTCTTGCACAGTTTGTCTCTAAATTGACTGAAATCATCACAGCTTACACCGCACAGATGCAAATCCTCTCTCTCTCTCTCTCTCTCTCTCTCTCTCTCTCTCTCTCTCTCTCTCTCTCTCTCTGTGTTATCACACTTTTTCTTTTTGTCCTGTTCCTGCTTGACGTCCTGGTAAGCAATTTCCTCTGCCTCAAATTTTTCGACCATAATTTTGATTGATAATTATCGTCTGGGACATAATTCTGTTGAGCCACCCAGCAGAGTGAAAGACTAGTAGAATAAAATAGAAATGGTCTGTTGTTGGGTGCATTCGAGCGGAGCCACAACAAATGAATGGATAAATCTCTCTGAGCTGCACTCTGCACTGTCGATTCGGAGACCAGTGCCGCAGAGAGAGGAGAAAACCTGCTTCCCTCTCCCTGCAGTCTAACTTTATGGCCTTTGGTTTCAAACGAAGAACTTATGATTCATCCTCCGTTTTCTCGTCTCCTGCTTCCTTTTGTTTTCAGAAAACGCTTCAAAGACTGGCTGTTCCCGGAAGGATTATCATGCCGACTTCTCCAGATTTAAACACAATCCAAGGGGAAATCCCTACTGGAGGCCTGGCTGGCACTGCCGGTCAGGCATGATAGTCTCCCCTGATAAACATATCGCAGTTGCTAACAATTCCCCTTTTCACACAGCCGCGATGTCGCGGCAGGCGATACTCCATCCTTTGAGAAATCAAGTGTGAACTTCTTGGAATGAGACAGAAAACAAGTAAAATATCTTTGAAGCGGTTACAATCAAACATACTTTTGCTCCACAACAACAGCTCAACATTTTAAGTGTTGAAACTTAACTTCATGTTTGAGTGTCCTAACTTCCCATGAGCAACGCCATGCAAGATAGATGGATGAGGAAGGAGGGGGATCTACACTGGCTTTTCTTTTTCTTGTTAGCTTGTTTTAAAAAACTTGTCAGCTTGTTTTAAAAAACAGAACTTCTGTTTGTACACCTTCAATGATAAAGCACTAGATGTCAAACTGTTTGCAAGAGGAAACTGAAATCTACAGACCAAAGAATGAAATATTTAACGGATGTAGTGTGGACAGCCGGCTCAGTTTACATTACTTTTGATATGCAGGACAGATTTCACAACCATTGAATAAAATCAGAATGGAAACTGACAAGTAGAAATGCCTTCTTGTGGTTGAAAGCTCACACCAACCATTCAAGTTGACATCATTTCCATCCAGGCTTTTTCAACATGCATATATAGAAGACTAAGGAGTTGCAAAATGGTAATGATGACTTTAAGAAAAAAAAAGATGATTCTAGGCAATACTTTCCAATGAGAGACATGTTGTCTTCACATAGAGGCTACCTTTTACGGAGAAATAGTAGACAAAGATAGAAGCTTAATATCAGTCTCACTGGAGGAAAGTTGGTTCTGTGGCTCAGATGGCATGAGGGGTTGTCTTCCTAGATCTATTCCTCTTACTTGTTGAAATATAGATGTAATTTTTTATTGCGATCCTGATTGGGCTTTGGGAACACTACCCTGCTGCTCTTCTTAAGATTTCTTCTATTTTTCCTCATGAAGTCTACGATCATTTAAAAGATGTTGTTTGGAAATTTTTGGCACATGATAAATCTGTCGCCTCCAATCTGGAAAAAAAAAAAGAAAAAATGTTTCTCATTAGGGGTTCCCACTTGAAATTCAAAGGCCTATACAGTCCAAACCAGATCCATGTGTGTCAGTGGGAAACTGGAGGCTGTGGTGTTGTATTGAGTTTACAACACAACTATATGTACAGTGTTTCCAGCAGGCAGGTGCAAACAGTTCAGCTGCAGCAGTGTGTTGGTTAAAATATTAACAACAGTATGTGAAAAGTTGTCAGATTGAGGGTTCTTAGCTCATAAAAGTGTAGTTCATTCATGATGGTGTTCATATGGGACATTTAAAGCTGTAAGTCTCTTTTTCCTTGTCAGGCTGGTGGGCACTGTCATTCTCAAAGGGGGAACAAGTTACTTGGTGTAGGACTTGGTATCATGCCTCCAACATTGTGCATTATCTTGTAGTCTCAGAATTATTAAAAAGACCCTGCATTGTGAAACAGAAATTGCCGTAGGATGTCCTGCTTTCAAGTTGTGACTCCTCTTTTAACATCTACAGAGAAAACCCCCTTCCCCCCTTTTTCCCTCAATTGGTACAGTCCACCTGGCACACCTCCATGAAAGAGTCCACGTTAGCTCGCTGTTATTCTTTGGTATAAACAAGAGGAAGGTCATATGAAGCACTAAAGTGAAAAATGAACCCTAATATTCCAGTGTTAGATCAGAACAAAAGCTTAAAATGAATGCCAAAGAAGAACCTTTTCTTACAATAATATTTCTAATTATTATGATTGAAAACGAATGAATTTGAGCAAAAAGCTGTGTTTCAGATGTCTTGGGTTGCCAGAGTTTTGTGAGTCAAAGAGGGGTCACGAGCCAAAACAGGTTGGGAACATAACATCCACAAACACAGAGCTGCTTATCCTATCATGAATTTGAAACCCTGTTTTTTTTTATTTACTCTCTTTTTGCTATACTTTGCTCTCCAGAAACTTCTGAATGAACTCTCTTAGTCTTTAGCTGCTCCAACTCGTTGTGAACTGGGTCGTTGTCTACAGATATTGGACAGTGGATTTAGTAGAGGTTTGACCACAAGGACGCCAGGTTAAGATTGGATCAGACTGTAAAGTTGTCCACCATAAAACCAAAACACTGAGCTGAAAAATTCTTTATCACTCAGAAGAGCGTGGGTCATTCATCTCTACAGGTGAACCTCTTTACCTTTTATTGGTCAATCCTTTACAGGGAAACTTTCTAATGTGAGAAAGTGAACCCCGTCTTCTAAGAGCTCATCTCAATGATTACACAATCACATGTGGGTTGAAATATTATGCAGTTGTTTTGCTCTTTTAAACCGACTAATGAGAATAAACATTTATATACAAGAAGAAAAAGTAGGTCATATTTGTTTGGAAATATAAATATGTCCTAGATGTGCAGGACATCATGGATGGCTGTTTATAATACTCAGTGTGAAAGAGTGAACGTTTGGTTCAGACTTTAAAAAGTGTGATATTCTCCATTTCTGTGTCTTATTTGAGTAAATCCTGCTCCATCTGGATGGGAAAAGAGTTGAGCAACCATCCTGAAGTAATTTGTGGTGAAAAAGTTGAACGGAGATATATAAGCTCCTATAAAAAGCATGTTTTATTTGTTATCATAGTATTGGATCTGCCTTTAGTAACTGTCTGGGTTTTGTGTTTCAGGTGCTGGGCAGTGCTGGAAATCGTCCCCCAGACATCGTTACCCGAGAGGCGAATGGCGGCTGAGGCGACCACGCGGCCTTCCTCCAGCGGCCTCCCTGGTTCTCAATCCTCCGTCTCCCCTCTGATGTACTCCAACATCTCTCTAGAAGAGTGAGTCTTTAATCCGCATGCTCTCTTGTCCTTCTTTTTTAGCCCTTCATCGATCGCTGTCGTAACATTTTCTCTGTCAGTGAGGGATGGCACGCGTTAGCCCGCCCTGCACTGGATATTTTTGCATATGTTGGTTTGGTTGCCATGGTGATAAGTTGAAGCAGGATCTATTACTTCGAAGTAACAAACTATGTCAGAGGTGGGAGTAAAAGAAAATAAAACATATTCTAGTTGATTGATTTTTTGCTAAGAATTGTTGACCTGTATTTGATCTTCACTGTGACGCCTACATTGATTAATAAAAATCAAATTAGAAAGTCCCAACTGGAATTGTTAAATGGTAAATAATCAACTTAGCCCTCTGTTAAATGAGGTAAATAACTGCTGTGCTCATCTCCGAGTGATCATAATAGATTTTTGGGTCTTTACTGTCAGTTTGGATAATATCATTAATTACTTTAATACAACCCACTAAATGCTTTTGATTGAAAGCCAAGATCACATTGTTAATGCCTCATCTGAGCTAAGTGCACATTAAAGAATGACACTTTTTTGGGAGCCCCATGGGTCACAGGATTCCCGCGGGACAGAAATAGATGTCACTCGGATCACTGGTTTTGGGACTGGACAGAACAAAAAAGCAAACTGGAGCAGATCAGAGTGGGAATTGTGATAACAATAGACCCGATTTAAAGAGAGACACACACCAAAACAGAGTGTTCTGAGAGAGCTGGTTTATACAGGGTCACAAACCTCCTCTCGTGCTTGATTCGTGCTATATTTTGACCACAGCACAGATGTTTCATTTAGACCACAGGGGGCTGTTTGAAAACGTGGTAAATGGGTATGATATGTCCTCTTTAAGGCTATTATTTCTATCAACTTTGTTGTCTGTTTGCTGGTTAAACATGCATGACGTACGTAGTGTGCTACGTGGGATGGTCATGTGCGCGATGCAGCCTCACATAAATCAATGGATTCAGAGAAAGCAGGAAGAATTATTGATTATGTTTTGTCTTCATACATATTTTTTGTGCTGTTTAGTGAAGGCATTTTTGGATTAAGACAGTAGATTCTTGTGGCACATCATCACAGGTAAAGTGTTATTAGTACTGCCACGTGCTGGCCAAAAGGAGGATGTGAAGTAATAAAAAAACACACAATGGGAGCAGGAAGGGACGGAGTCGTTCTACCTGGAGGGGATCATTTTTGTGGGAGTGGGACAGGACGGGAGTGAAAAACCACCCTCTGATGTCTCTAAAGCATTGCTCTCGTGATCAAATGAACCAAAATAAATGGTTCTCCAGAGGCCACTCTGGTTGAAGAGAATAAGCCTTGATAGGAGATGATCATATGAGGAGACAGCCAAACCATTGTGACTGAGTTGTGCAGAACTCAGCTTTTAAAGCATTGGAGAATTTTTGTTTCTAGAAATAAAATAAAAACTTTATTCATCCTCTTTCACCATTTGCATTTTCTGTCTCACGAGTGGGCTGAAGTTTACAACAGCTGAACTTCATCTCAAAACTATTCAACTACTTGTTACAAATTGAAGTTGAAAGTTTATTTTCAACCTTGTACAAGCCGTTTGAACCGTCTCTACCCACACGTTAAGGTTCTCGTCCGCAGAAGTAGTTTGCGCAGCTGTTGTAGATCATTAAAATTTCCTAAACCTTCTGGCCTAAAATGCTTAACGGCTCAATCTTGACCTCGCAAACCACAGTCGACAAGCTGATGTCAACTACCCACTCACTTGAGTTTAAAACTGTTGTAAAGGATCAGGAGGATGACTCAGGAGTGTACTGTGGGTATGGATCGTTATACTCCTAAAGCTACAACCTCAACAATGACTCAAGCCCAGCCTATCAGACCAACTAATCTAAACTGTTAGAAAGGATTATATATTGTCCAATAACATCCTTTGACATCAGGCCTGGATTTGTTTTCTGCCATTACTGTGTCCACCCATATCCTGAGACCATTAAGCAGCCCCAGATTGTCATTCCCGCTATTAATCTAGTTTTTTTTTGTCATCATATGCTATTCCATTGATGCCCAAAAAGGTGACTTTGATGATACATCAGCAGAGAATTGTGTGGATGTGCACAATTAAACGCTCTTGTACTGAATCTGTAATTATTTCACAGCATCTTAGAATCTAATGGCTCCCTGGCTCAGGCCTTCCCTTTCCATTAAATTCTCCTTCATTTCGCTGATTTGCAGAACAACCATTTCTCATTTTGATTGCTCGGCATGAATTTTTATTTCTGTGTTATTCCTTCTCCTCTACCGATCACTGCTCATTGTTCCCCTCTTTTAAAAAAAAAAAAAAAAAAAAAAAAAAAAAAGCACAGCTCCTGTGACCCACATGGCTCAGACTAACTTGGAGACAGGTACTCCCCTCTCCATGTATAGATCTTGTAGACCAACAGTGCCCCCTTGTGGATTTAATAAAAAAGGTTATTAAAAAAAAACCATTTGTTTGAGTACATCGTTTTTTTTCACCACTCCGAATCCCAATCCTCTGACCTTGTTCTCCTCATCTGTTGAGTCTTTTAGAGCAGTTATGTGTGCAGTTAAAGTCATGCTGGGATGAAGAGGGTAATCATAGATAAAGTGCCCGTATGTTCTGTCACCAGGGTCAGAAACAAGGATTTGCTTTTAGACACTTTGCACTTTTCTATACACTTGGGATTTATGTTGAGTGTTACTCCTCAGATACTTTAGAAGTGATAGGGGAGCAGTCTTACATCAACAGAGCAGCTGGATCAAAAAATAGATGGAGGATTTTGTCCACATGTCCCTGAATCTCATCACATGTGCAGTTTTGTCAGGTCCCTCTTGTCAAATATGGATGAAGCAATTTTTACATGTTTGCATAGAAACTGATATCAACCAGGAAAGATGGTAATAATTTAAAATGTCAATTTTCACCTTCATGTTACGACCAATCACTGTATATTAAGATGGAAGAAGCTCCTCCCAATGTTTAAAAACGAAGCCAAAATATGGCTGCCAGCTTGCACTGGTGACTTAATTTGAAGCAGAAGTCTGTGCAGTAGAGCCTTGATAATGACATCTGGTCCCTTCAGCTGCCCAAAACACCCATTCAGCTCACTGACCAGCAGAGATCCTTCAGGTCGTCACAGCCTTGAGTTTAACAGCTTCTTGTGTTGGTTTGAAGTCAGATTCTCTTCTCTATCAAATAAAAGAAATAGTAGCCCTTAAAAAAAAAAAAAAAATGTAGCTCTATTGACCTGTGTGTTTTGGTTTTACAGTTGACCCATGTCCCATCTGTCAACATAAAGGAGGCCCGTGTGATTAGCGTAAGTCATGTGGAATCTGATCTTTTCAAACCCCAGTGTTGAAGAATGAAGCCGAGGCAGAAGTGCAAAATCCTGCAGTTAGTCGAGTGTCCATTTAGGACTGGCTGCAGAAGCACCAGAAGTCACATACACACCCTATTCAAAAAAGCCGTTTTTAGAGCAGACATTACCAGGCGTTACGTTGACTGATAGTTAAGTTGAGAAAGCATTTCCAGCATGGCGACCGCCATCGATGGGACTTTAAAGCCCCCTGCAGTAACAGATGGGTGATGTCACTCAGGCTTTATCCAGTAATATTTACAGTCTGTGGTGGATTCCCACAGGAGTCTGATACAGGCTACATTTAAAAAGCAATGAGTAGGAGCACTGCCTGTAGTCCTCAAAGCAGACGGCCGAATTTTCGAATCCAACTTGTGGCTTCTTTTCTGCATGTCACTCCCAACTCTCTCTTGCCCTGATTTCCAGCTTGTAGCATTTACAAAAGAGTAATAGAAGACAATTCACAAGGTTCAGAAAATTGTTAATGATATGTAAATTACCACATAAGTGTAATTCTGAGTCTTAAAAATAGTTGTAATAAACGTCAAGCTGTTGAATGTCTAACAGTTTAGACATTTTAGGAGATAAACCTTGACTACATTCATCATCAATGCCTTTTGATAATTAATGTTGACACAAGATGAGACTGCAGAGCTGTCTGACTGTTATGTTGGAGTCCCACAGGGATCTGTCCTGTCTCCTTTCCTCTTTACCATCTACACATCTGACTTCAAATACAACTCAAACTCATGTCATCTTCAACAATACTCTGCCATCGTTGGGTGTATTGAAGAGGGACTGGAGGAGGAGTATCGGGGCCTGGTGGAGCGGTTTGTGGGTTGGTGTGGGGAGAATCAGAGTGCAGCCGAACGTGAGCAAGACAAAGGAGATTGTAGTGGACCTAAGACGGTATAAGACTGCTCCTTTCCTTGTCTGAATCAGTGGGACTGATGTGGAGATCGTCAAAGTCCTAGAAGTACTTAAGTGTAAAACTGGATGACAGACAAGAGTGGTCCACCAACAGAAGTATCTGCAAAACTTAACTTCCTGAGGAGGCTCAGTGTCTGCAGCAAGAGGCTCAATATGTTTCATCAGTCTGTTGATGCAAGCACCATCTTCTTTGTTGTTGTTTCTACTTGTAATCAGAATATTACCCGTATCAACAATAGAGCAGAAAAGGACATACTGGCACACAACTTCTCCCAGAATTAGAAAAATTCATTTGGGGGCTGGCAGCAAAAAGATGTCAACAGACTGATCGAGAGGCCTGAGTCTGTTTAAGGCCTGCAGCTTGTCAGGCTAGAAGAGGAGGTCGAGGCCAGAATCCTGGTTAAACTGTTATGGACCAATTCTCCCACCCTCTCCACAGTGTGCTTGACAAGCGGAGAAGCAACACCAGCAAAAGTATGATGTGTCCATCCATGTTAAACCCACAGACACTAAACTAGACGTACTATTTTTGTACAGACAACCCAACATCTTTGACACGAATGCCCCAACACTTGAATATGTAGACTATGTTTTTGAGACGGCAGTAACTCAGGCGCGGCAGTATCTCAGTCTGTAGGGACTTGTGTTGTTTACCCGCGAGTTGCTGGTTCAAGTCTTGGTGTAGACCAAAATATGGACGTTTTACTGGTAGCTGGAGAGGGGCCAGGTCACTTCTCAAGTACTGCAGAGGTGCCCTTCAGCAGGGCACAGAACCCCAAAAAAGTTCTAGTGTGCTCCAGTCTTTGCATGTGTGTATTTCAGGCCCACGTGTGTGAGAAACATGTCTCTTAATAACAGAGTGTAAAAAACACAATTTACCTCAGGGATTAAAGTCTGTAAAATAAAAAAATAGGTCTGTACACTGTGTTTATAGACTATATGATATATCCTAACCTACTCTATCTTTCATGTACCTACATATATCAACAACTATGACCATGTATATTGTAAGTAATATTCTTTTAGACCATGTTTAAAGTACTTGTATCTAACTTGTATATTGTTGAACATTGCACTAACTGTTACCAAAGGTGGGTCATATCATTACCATAACTATTTGTACTCTGCACTCTCGCACTTGTTTATTTTATTCTCTTCACCGTCTGAAACGTACAGCTCCCCGTGTGTGTTTAGTATCTTTAAAGCCCACCCAAGTGGGTTTTTGTGAGCTATTTCCTCCTGTTGTTGGATAATGTAATTTCTAGTTATTGCTGTTACAACAACACAATGCCCCCCCCATGGGATTAATCAAATAATCTATTCTGTATCTATCTAAAAAATAAATCAATATACAAGCTTCAATGGCATGAATGTAACTGAAAATATTACAAAAGGTTCAATCATAGTCATAATAAATAGCAGTAAAAATAATAAAAGTATTTATCAATGCTGTTATAAAAACAATGGTATGATAATGAACTGGATATATCTGTATATACTGGATATATATCTATATATACTGAAAGGGCTTTATCTATTTAGCATGGAAAACATCTGTTAACATTGCCAAAGCTTAATGAAATCTGATGAAAGAGTAACAGATGAAATATTAAAGTGACAGAGCTGTGCAGGTTTACAGTTTTATATAAAGTGTCAGAACATAAAAAAAGGTTGTTTTTATCTTAAGAAATACAAATAGAAAATGTAACTTAGCTCTTAAATATATAAAGGTGACTACAGATAACTGACAGAAATATAACGTAAAAAAATTAAAAATGAAGTAAAAATGTGCATCTACAGCTCTGTGGTCTGTGTGTATGTACAGTATAGCGATGTAATTAATCCAGATGATGGTGCAGTAATGCTCATCTATCATCTTACTATCTATATATGCATGCTGCTTACATTCTGACAAGTATTTTATTTTAATTGGTTCCTCACAAGTCCTCAAACTTACAGTGGCAGCACCGAGGCAAGGAGAAAGCATGAGTGAGAGAACATGGGTATCATAGAATCCAGATTAGATACTGGTTTGAAACCTGTTGCCAAGCAACCCAAACATTTTTCTCAGAGTTGCTGTGATTGGCTAGTTATTTGCAAGGTCACCCTGATTGGTTGGTTGATTCAAGCCTGGTAAGCTTTAAAAAAAACAAAGGGTGCTAATGGATACTGATCGGACAAAGATCTTTAAGAAATATTCAAATTTACTTTTAGTGACATGCAATGATCAGAATCTATTTGAACTCCAAAATGTAATCAAAATAACAAAATAACTCTACCATCTTGTTAAAATTCCTTTAAATGTATACACACTGCATTGATATTTGAAATTCTGTGTTGCCGTAGTGATGATTCTGTGCATTTCTCATTTACTTACGCTGGCAGAAGTTAACACTTCACATACAAACCTGAACACACAGAGGTAAGAACACATGTCTTCAAAACAGCTAAGTCAACTCCACTCCGAAATGGAGAAAGTTAGAAATCTCAGGAAACTGAGCGAAGGCGAGAGAAGAAAAGAGCTCCAGAAAGAGATGTTTAGAGAGCTGAGAGAGATGGAAATGGAGCGTCAAGCAACAGCCGATCAGGAAGCAGTGGAGAAGAGAAGGAGGGAACAAGAAGAAAGGGACAAAGCAGCTGAAAGATTGCGAATGGAGAAGGAGAGACTTCAGGAGGAGAGGAGGAGGCAGGAGGCCAAATGGAGGGAAGAGGAGGAGAAGGCGGCTGGTGAAGTAAAGGCCTTAGAGGAACAGAGAAAGCACCAACTGGAGCAAGAGAGGTGCCATTGGCTGACAGTGATGACGGTGGAGGAGAAGCCAATCACAGGGTCCAGATTCATGGTGCGTGACCTGAAAGAGGAGCAGCAGCAGAGCAGGTACAGGCAAGCTGAGCTTTGCCGCCTGAGAAAAGAGGAGGACAGAGCCAGGTCTAAGTGCCTGCTGAAGGCCCAGCAGAGAAGATGCATTCAGTTCAACAACTGGGCTGGAAATCAGAGAGCGGGCGGTGAGCCTGGTGAAACGGACCTCCACCCAACCGGCCGCACAAACACCCCGCCATCTGAGAGAGTCGGCCTCAAGTGTGAAAGTACGTGTTTTATCTCAGTCTTCTTTTTTGTTCTAAATATCACAGCGCTTTTATTTAAATCATTCATAGTGTCGCTCATCTTTTGATTCTTTTGAACCACCAGAAACACCAAGAAGCTCGGAGTCCCTGCTGTGGCAGAAGGTGAAGCTGGGACTGAGACCCTTGTTGGAGAAGTACAGAGATGAGTTGGAGAGGAAGAGGGAGGCTCGCGGTCTTAAAGCTGAGGAGCAGTACTCGAAGTGGACCGCCTCCAAAGAGAGACAGCACTTTCTGTTCGAGCAGTTTGACTGCTACACTGAAGGCTTCAACATGTCCAGAAACAGCATCCTCAAGAAAGCCTTCTGCTAAATGTACAGTCCATTGTTTTTCATGTCAGATTTGATTAGAATAAAAGTCTACATTGAAAACACCTGAATTCAGCTGGAGCTTGCTTTGTGTCAAAATAAACTTCTGTCTGGGATGTAATATAGGAGAGTCAAAGGCCTTTTGTGGTTTATATATAAACATAAAGGCTATCAACGAGATGGAGAGATGGTTGTTAAATCTGGTGCAGACATTAATTGAATATTTGCGTGCTTGTCTGTACATTGTTTTTGTCCAGTCCAGTTAATTAGCATTAGCTTCTACATTAATTAGACCAACTGAATCAAAACATTAGAGAAGATAGCCTGTTGGCTGGACCTTTAATATGTATCGAGTCATTTAAAGGAGCCCTACTGAAGTAGCAGTAGTTACATAATGTGACCACTACATGTCCTCGGTCTTTCAGTGCTCCACGGCTGCTTTCAAAATAAAGTTTTCACCTCCTTTATCTCAGCTGCAACTGAAAGCAGCTAGAAACAAACTCAGGGAACCTAGAGCACTTTAAAGCAGCAGCAGACAAATGACCAAAATTAGAGTTTAAAATGGAAACACTGATTCATAGGTATTAGCCCTGACCTGGCATATGTTTTACTACCATTTGTGCCTCATTTAATATTTAGGACAATATTTCCCCTGCTGTAGTATTCTTGTATCTCCCCAGGAGATCCTGTGCAGGCTGGGAGCCGGCCAGAGAGGAAGAGAGAGAGAGAGAGCCATGCTTTATTATTTCATAGGCTCTAAATGAAGATTCATTAATGCAGAAGGCAACCTTTTTCACTGATGATTTTTTTCAACATGTTATAAAAGGCAGGAAATAGAGTCAATATTTTACATTTGTCTTTGATTTTATCATGTTTTAAGACTCAGACAGGAACACTGACTGCACTGTAAGGCTGGTGCAGCTGAGGGATCATTACAGCTGTTCAACATCAGGTTGTACTTGGGTGGTGAGGGAGGACAGATTATCTACAGTGGTTCCTGAGATGGGGTCGCAAGCCACCAACAAGATGCCTTAAAAATGTAAGAAATTGTATATATTAACTATTATCATAAAAATATATACAAAAAAGTAGTTCAATTTCAAATGAAACCATTTCAGTCACAACACGTCGAGGCTCTGACCTCATCACTCATCAAAAATCTGAGGAGTAATGGGATGATATCTTAAACCCACCCAGTCGGAGCCTACAGGTTAATGCTAGGGTGGTGGTGGGGCTTAGTGCTGGCAATGACAGAGCAGAGGGAGAGACCAGAAATCTCACAGCTTAAATAGACGGCTAATAGTAAGTTTGCACATCAGCATTGACAGCAGCATTGTAGGTGTCTGCTGATCTTTACAACGTTAGATGAACACACCTGTAGGTCTATTTTGTTTTAGTTGTATACATACTCAAAGTCGATACATGGAAATTACCAGTAGTCTGCTTCTTGCCTTTCTTAAAATAGATTACGTTATACATCAATTTCATGGCTTTTAGGCTGTTATATTATTTTGTGTTACCAGTGTTTAGAAAGTCTTATTAATGTGTGTGCGGCTGTGGACTACATTAAAATGACTTAACCACCTCCAGGGACAGTGGGGGTCCCCTAGTCTCTGGCACCTTTATTTAGGGGGTCGCAAGCTGGAAAGTTTTGGAACCCCTGATGTAACTGACTTTACTGAGTATCTTACATTTCTATACACCTCCCCTGTGTCCTTCATACAACCTGTCTTTTGTGTTTCTTTTCTGTGCAGGTCTGAGAAAGCAGGAGAGATAGCAACCATCCCCCTGACCAGGGTAAGACCCCACTCTCCTTTATGTGTCTTTGTTTTAAACATGTGTACATGGCCTATAGTTTTCCTACCACTAAGCATGTAACGCTCGCATGTCACATAGGTCATTGAATGGAGCTGCTTTAAAGAATAGAACAACTTTGATTAGTAGGCTTGAAATGAAACACGTATTTCATGTCTCAAAGTGTGGTCTGAATGCCCTAAAAAATTTCTGCAAGGAGCGTCATTATGCTTCACGACAAAGTAAACGAGAGAACATTTTTCAGTCAAGTTTATTTCATTCATTTGCCAAACTTACAATTACATACAAACACAAGATCTCAAACTTTGAATGAAAAGGACCAGGAAGAATATGACCTATTTCATCATATTTCCTCAACATACCGGCTTTGATTTATTTATTTATTTTAAATGTTCCATGAACTGATTCCTGTCACAGTAATGGATGACCCAGAGGAAGGCCACAAGCCAAACTCATCGGCAGCCTAAATACTACATGTGGTGCTGGAGCTTTTCACTCTTCATGCACCGTGGTTTGGTAGCTGGTGGAGTTGTGCCAGAAAATCAATTAATCAATCTTGAATTGTAAAGCGCCAATTCATAACAAGTGTTATCTCGAGACACTTTGGAACAGAGCAGGTAAAAGACCTTACTCATTGTCACAGTGGCATGAAAAAACTTCCTTGAAGAGAGCAGAAATCTTGGGCAATTCCAGACTCATGATGAACAGCCATCTGCCGAAACTGTGCAAGGTTTGAAAAATTGGAAATAGGGAGAAGCAGGTATAAGGATTCTGGGGGGGTCCATAGCAGCAGGCGGTCCACACCATCGATCCAAAGGAACCTACAAGAGTTCAGGAGCTCCTTAAACCCTCCTCTGCTTTCACAACGTTTCTTCATTTGGTTCTGATAATCGATCTTTGTTCATTTTAAAGTAATAACAACTCTCTCTCTCATCTTCTCTGGATGTTTGTGGCAACACATTTGTATGAGCTTTATACATAGTTTCCAGAATACTGTGATTTACTAACTCATGAAACTTCAACAAGTTAAACTGAACGAATAACGGAGTTTATTGGATCTCTACATCGACTTCTACTGATGGTTCTTAAGGCTGTTTTGTATCATGAAGTCGAATTTATACTTCAACACAGTAAAGGTCAGATATGGAGCAATCATTGAGTTATATAAAATGTACCATGCTTTATGTAATCATGAATTATTTTTGTTGTGTTACAGAGATATTATTGTTTCCAACATTTTCACTTTTATGTAATTTATTTGTTACTTCCAGCTCAGTTTCTCATCAGTCATGACACCTTAAAACATTTTAATTTCTTTTACTCTGAATTTCCATACCTTTTATGTAAATAGAAGCATCTAGGGTTTTCTAGACTAGTTTAAACTGCATATTATGATCAAAGTCGTAGATTTTGCATGAGCATGTAATAATCTAAGAAGTGTTACAATGTGTGTCACTGCTCAGTATATCACCTGCTGTGCCAGATAATGGATTGTGGTTTAATTCACTGCAGTAACATGTGGCTAGCCTGTGCATTTATTAAAAAAAATATGAAACAAACCAGGAAGCTTCTGATCGGCAAATGGAAACATGCAACAATTAGCTGAAGTGGCTTCCTGAGCTCAGCATGAACTAATTGGTAGTCAGAGTTTTCACAGTAGAGTGAGCATGGCTTGGTTCTTTTATCAGGAACATATTTCTGGATGACAAATCCGAACGATGAAGCTTTTTTAAATTCTACTATTGTAACTTTCTCTGGAGCTTTGGCCTGCACAGATTTTGTGATACAGTCGGAGTCAGAAGTGCTGCATGAAACTGACCTCTGCAAATAATCATCCCAACTAAAGCAGTGATTCCACTGATGAGCGAAGCCTCAAAGCAATAAGGAATCAGTGAAATAAATGTCATGCGTGGTGGCAGGATCTCAGTCTGTAGGGAGTAGGGTTTGGAACTGCAGGGTCGCCAGTTCAAGTTCTGGTGCGGATCAAATTATTGAAGTTGGTCTGGTATCTGTTGAGAGCCAGGTCACTTTCTGAGAACTGCAGAGGTGCCTTTGAGCAAGGCACAGACGCTTACAGAGCACTGTCACACGCCATGTGTAGCAGCTCCACTCCACTGACATCTCTCCACTAATGCATGTCCACAGGTCAGGTTTGTGCGTGTGTGTGATTTGGGTGTGAGTGTGAAACTAGAATTTTCCCTCAGAGATTAATTAATAAAATGTTTTAAATTTAAATTATAAAAATTAAAGGCAGTAAATAGGAAAGTGACGAAAGCAGTTCTCTTTGATATGACAAATAGTGTCATTTTAGCACATCAGTGTTTCAAAAAACATAATGACATGGTTCAGTACAATTAGAGAAACACATTATGTGCTTCTCAATGTTTTCTTTACACATAAAATACCATTCTGCTCTGAAACGACCGACGAACATGTTTTTAAGTAGAATATTGTGCCTCCCTTTCACCCTGTGGTGTCCTCATTTTCAACATCCACCGACATCCATCACCCTCCCCACCAACCCATGTAGATTATTAATGAACGTTACAGGGCGTACTCCTGGGTGGCTGAGCTGATCCAGGTCTTTATAGCCATCAGCATCACCGTGTCCTTCCTGGTGATGGGATCTGCCATGAAACACACGGGTAAGTTTACTCCTGCTTCAATGTCATTCACTTAGTTAGTCTTTTAATATTATGTACAGTACATGATGAAAGAAGAGATTTCTAAAGTGTTGCTTCTATAGAGAACAAACCATAGGACGTATTTTTGTAGGCCAACCCAGAAGTAGCATCGCCATGGGGTCTAACGAGAATTCGCCTATGGGATTTTTTGCATTGGATTTTGTATCATTGCAGAAAATAAGCTCTGTGGAAAACGCACGTTTCTGAAGTGTAGGCGTTTAGTTCAGCAGGTTAATCTTCACAGATGAACACCATTCTTATGATGTTTGAAGCGTTAATGCGGCCGACAGAAGTAAAAAGCTAACGTTATGCTACAAGTGAACTACACCACGGTCAGATGATTGTGACATCACTACCGTTATGCTTCAGACGATCTCTGATAAACTAATCCACGTAGATTAATAAATTGTTTATTAACCTAATATTTGCCTTAACCTAAAGATGAAACCTACATGAGACATATCAGACTAACGAGTGAGTTCCCGGCCTCTGTGTCCGGCGTGATGACCTTCAATGTCCCCGATAACCACTGTAGTCACCTTTAGCCACTTGTTAGCAACCGCCTTTTTAAAGACGCGTAAAAACTTCAAAATGCAAAAGTGTGGGTATTATCTAACGTAGTTTATGTGGTCTAACAAAACACCAACATCTCTTCAGCTTGTGTTAACCACAGACCTTATTTCAGGTGTCTAACCACAAACCCATTCATAATGCCCATTGACTTTTAGACATTAGACCCCATGGTGCTCAAATGCTAACTTACTTCCGGGTTTAAGGACTCATTCCTGTGGCGCTCTATTGTAGTCATAAGAAATGTAGTGTTATATAGTAGCACCAAGGTACAATAAATTAGGTCACATGCATTTTTTTTCTCTTCAGCACAGAATTCAAATACAAAAAGGAAGGATTCAAAATGTTGAGACAAATATAAATCTACTTACTTGCAGACGTCATTAAGAAGAATGTTGAAGAATAGATATATCACAACGATCTGGAGACTTAGCTTAGCATAACGACTGATAGCACAGGGAACTGGCTAGCCTAATAAAGTATATCAAAAAATTATGCAATACAAGACTAGTGACCCAATATTTAAAGAAAGTGTAGAGGGCAGAAGCAAAAGACTGCACGCTTGTAAACATGTTAATAAATATTACAGGATTCATGACTTTGAAAAATGCCTTTGCAAATGTTTAATGTCTCATGGTGCTTTTGTGATTTTTGCTGAGAGCTCTGTTTGTTAGTTAGAAATCACCACATGGCTGGAGCTCCACATTAAGTGAAATTATATTAGAGTGGGATTAATCTCAGAACAAAATACTGAAGTCATTCTTTAAGCGTTTGTGTGTAGAGTGTTCGGTGTTGACTTTAGGTGTTGTGTGTCTTTCAGTTGATGGTCTGGTTAGCTCGATGTGGAGCAGCAGACTGGAGTGGCTGTCTAAAGCCTGGGAACGAAACCTGCCCAACAAACATCACGTCTGCTCGGCCAGAAGGTGAGTGCTCACAGTGGAAAACGCCCCCGGGAAGTCAGTGGATTTCTAAGTTTCACTTCTCTTCTATGATATTTAAAAAAGCAGCTGAATGAACTGATCCCAGTGTGTGTACTGATCACAGTGTGTGACGTGCTCCATGAAGTCTGATTCTCTGGTGAAACTGTTTTAGATGATTATCAAAGAAAGAATATGCGATTTTTCACACTTGGATGTAGCAGAAATCAAGTATATCCTCTGGAATTAACTCTGTGAGTCATGACTGTCTACAATGTGTTAGCATGCTAACACAACAATGCAGCGCCAGTTGTTTTGGTTTCATGCTGGTGCTCAAGGGCGACATCTGCTGGATCAAAAAATTGCATATTCTGCCTTTAAGTTAGTGATTGTTGAGTTGTTTTTCATGCTCCTCCTTTCTGTCTTTGGCAGCATGGTTAAAGGATTGGTGTCACTGCTCGTGTTTATGGTCATCTTCATCGTGTCAGTGTGCGACCCCAGGGTAAATACACACACACACACACGTACACACACACACACACGTACACACACGTACACACACGTACAATAATAGAGACGGCTAAAAATAGATTCATGATGATAAATACCTCGACCTTCTCTCGTGTTTTCTCTCTCTTCTTCAGGGTTTTGTTGTCATGTTGGACAAAGTTGTGTCGTTCTCCCTCAACACTGAAGTCGGACTGTTTGTCTTCATCATGCTGAGAGAATCCAGAGAAGACAGATTCCAGTGAGTACCTCTGTTTCAAATAACGCTGTCGAGTCAGGGTTCAAGAGGCTGAAGAGGTAAAGATGTAGTTTAGTTATTTTAGAGAATATGTAACCTTTATTTGATGTCTGTTACTGTCATCTGTATTATCACAGGTTACGTACTCCTGACAGACTGCAGGTGCAAAGTGAAACATCAACATGTACAGGAACCTCACTTAACTTATGCACAGATATGAAACCTTTTTATGGTGTATTATATTTCACTACAAGCCCCAGCTAAATGTGGATCGCCGTTACATGAGTTTATTTAATCATGACACATTGAAACTAAACTAAGGCTCCTTCTTATTAGGGCTGTCAGCATGAAATAGTCAATTATGATTAATTAAGGTCGGAAATTAATGAAAAAAACTTCATGTCAAAAACACTCAGACAGCTCAGCTGAAAGTAAAATCCACCTTATGATACATTTACCTTTGTTACCGTTCCTTTGAGCTGTTTTCGTCTACTTCTTGATCCATAACCACTTCCTGTTTCTGTGGTGAAGTTAATGTTGTAACCTTTGAACTATCTTTATAACTAAACATATATATATATATATATATGTATATATATATATATTAACTTACTTTATTTCAAAATAAAAACATGGTTCAATTCAAACAGCAAGTAAAATACTCTCAGCTTAAGACAGTACAAATATTCAAAATAAAAGCCAGACCATTTTTAATATTAGAAATAATGGAATTCAAACATGAGATTAAAAGTGTGATTAACCGCCATGAACGTTTGAAATTTAGCGATTAATCATGATTAAAAATTGGATGCTTCGTCTGCTACTTCCACGTCTTTTTTTTCTCCATCATGTCTTGCTCTGTGAGGGGCATATGTGAACAGCCAGGACAGGAGACTACATGGAGCAGTGCTCCTGAAATTATCTAGATTTTTTCAGGAGTACATGTGTGAAAACAGGTTGTAACTTTTCCGTGCAGCATTTTTTGATTCTGGGCGCCCCTGATTTGTGGGTGTGGTATTCCGAACAGAAGGCATACTGAGTCCATCCTCAGATTTAGTTAAAAACCACATTCAACTATTTTCACCCAAAAATCCTGAAGACTTGTGAACACAAGTCCACACAGTTTGTATAAAGATATCGATCTCCTTCCTGCATTGGGTACACACAGCTGACTTCTCAGGGTCCTTTCTGTTTCTAAGTTGAGGCGATATCTGAGGGCGACGTAGCAGCCTGATATTTGGTCAGTTTGAATCTGAAATTTAATGTTGTTACAGCTCGGTTAGTGAGGATTTATTTATAACACCCAGTGAGGAAGTAGATCAGATATTTTCTGTAATATCATTGTCTCTTGTTCTTGCAGGCACATTGCCGTCCCTCTGCCTGTAGGCGACTGCGTCTTCAGCCTCAGTTGGCTGCTCCCCACCTACTTCCTGTTTGCTGTCACCTACGACGTCCTGCAGACTCTGGCCGAGGTGGCTCATTACCTGCACTTCTTCAGCCACAGTCAGGAAGCACACTACCACAATCTGACGGAGAGTGTAACAGCAGCCAACGTCTCCGTCCTGCTCTGATTCGCTCACAGTGTGATAAGAGACAGACCACGAGGAGTTCAATTTGCCAATAATCTGAATGTTAGATAAGTGCTTTTATATTACTCACATTTATCCAGCTCTTGGCACAACGTGAACATTTTAACGATGAGTGTTTGTTTTGTTTTTGAGGCCATCTTTGGCGGACATTTTAGTTGTTTCTGCTCTCCACTTAACCTTGAATAGTCTTTTATGATGCTCATTAACATTCATGTGAGAGAGAGGATTGTTTCACAACGCAATGCAATGCTCAAAGGGTAACCATGGTTTTCTAGAACAATCTGTTGTAATTAGAGGGAGAGATAAAACACTGAGGTTGGACACAAGGTGTATCAAACATTTAGGTCATTTACAGGTTTCACAACTCATCCATGTAGATCCAAATAGGTCCAGCTATCAAGGGAAATCAGGTCTTCAGCAGTGACAGTCTGTGATGATGTTTCTGTCTGTTCTTGTATTGGCTGATCTCTAGACAGGTGCAAATGCCAACCGCACTAAAATAACAAGAAGAAGAATGTAATTACTTATAGACTGTTCCATACAGCCGGTCCCTGGTGTTGTAGAAATGTAAATATTGTAGTTTGAAATGTATATCATGCGACTTTCAGAGTAGATGTCGCACTTTAGCTCCAGTCATCTTAAACCAAAACAAAGCTGAACCTTCAGCTCGCCACTTCCCCTCCTCCTCCACCCCTCCCATAACTGAGCACAGCCATTCCTACAACTGACCTCCATTCAGATACGCAGCCCAAAGTTGATTCAGTTCTTATTTCTAAGTATTTCTTAACCAAACAAGTATTACCATTGGAAAGTCTGCTGGTTCTCTTTAATTCTTCTCTTGTAACAAAACCCCACCGTTATGCCCGCTCGATCAGCGTTTCTAAGTGGGCGGAGCCGTAGCTCTTCCTCACATGGGGGAGGGGCTAAGGGTTGACCATGGAGGGGGTTTATGTGAGTGAAAACATGTTTGAGCCTCTGAGCGAATCAGAAACAAGCTGAAAGAATGAACACAGAGTAGAAAACAACAAACCCAGAGGGAGTTTGACTTCAATCTTTTTTCTAGAAAGGCGATATAGTAAGTTAGGATATATTTGGTGACATATATATTCATGTTTAAAAAGTCTCATACCTCTAAATGAAATACTATTAAACACACTGTATGCTATTACTTGAAATGCACTTTGCAGAGTATAAACTTTGTTTAAATGAAAATGTATATTACTGGGTTCATTAAGCTCCCATCAGACAATCCTGCTGCCAATGAGCCCTGTGGGGGGGGGGTATAATATGTGAGTGTAAATATTGTCCACTATGAAACATGAAGGTAAGAAGATGGATCTCATCCGTCTGAGTTCAATTGCATGTTCACAGGAAGACATTTTTTATTTAAGCATGATCTCTATTTATCCTCAAATCAAACAAATAACCGATCAAAGTGCACCATACAGCTCAGCTTATGAAAATGCATATTATAATTATTTATTGCTTTTCCCTGCTTCTTAATATTTTGAACATCAGCCCGTTGCCAAATATTCTGTGGCCTAAACCAGTGGTTATGATGCAAACAAAGACTCGCAACACTATGGCTCCCACATATATACTTATTTATGCATTTAAGGAACACAACGTTTCAAGCCCGACCAAAGTATAATATAAGTATATATGTGGGAGCCATAGTGTTGCAAGTCAGTGATGTGCGTGTGTTTTTTTTTTTTTTTTTTTTTACTTTTTCTAGACCAGTGGTTCCCAAAGTGGGTGTTGTGAGACACTGGGAGGTGGGTCGTGAGACAAATTTGGAATGACATAAAATTACACATTTTACCCATTATTGTGAAATCACATACAAAAAAGTTGTTCAATTTAAAATCAAACCATAGTCCTCAAGTGAGATTTGTGCTGAAATGAAAACAAACAATTTGACTCTAATGATGTAGGTGTCTTTGTTGCTCTTTGTAAATACAAACACTGAAATAATAGAATTATTCTAAGGTTGCTGGATTCTTTAATTTTTGTTCTAATGTCCATTTTTGGATAGACCTATTAGTGCGTGCTGCTGTGAGCAACGTTAAATGCTTTTACCACTTCTAGGGTCAGAGGGTCCCCGGTCTGGCCTAGACTAGTACTGATATTTGAGACCTCTGCTCTGGAGGACTGCCGTGTTTCTGTTGAACGCTGTTCGTCCTGAATGTGAAGGACAGTAACACAGCACTCACTTTTCCCAGAGTCACTTTTGTTTTCCTTCACATGACGCTGGCGAGTGGATTATGTTGTCTTTAATCCACTAACTGCAGTAACCACTAGAGGTCGCTGTGGTGTTTCTTTTACAGAAAGGCCAAGTGGCTGCAGCTCCTCTTCCACTTATTCAAAGCATGCCTCTTTAGTGTCATTGCACCTGCTGTGAATAACAGAAAGCACAAGCATTACTCCTCTGAGATCAATGTTTTAAATTCTCACATTATTGAAAGTTGGATTTCTGATTGTCTACTCATTGTTACTCCACGGTGTCAGCTCATCGTCATTTCTACAAACACACATTCACACACAAATAAAACTCCAACCTCTTATCAAAATAGATTTTATTCTGGACTTTTTGTTTCACTGATCGGACTTTCAATGTTAACAGATTGATGTGATGTGAGTTGCAGAGATTAAACCAAAAACAAAAAAAGACCTTGAGACCCGGTGGGAGAGAAGCTGCAGGACTGACATGACGCTCTGTGACAAAAGTCCACCCACAAGATCGATGTGGCACAGATCAGAGGATGGCATGGATTTATCCGTTTGACTGTTGGCTCCATGAATCAGTGAACAAACACTTCACCTCTTTAAATCCAGAAGTAGGAATGTCTCATTAATTACAGGGGAGATGTAGATATACTGACAAGTGTTCTGAAGTGGAGGTGCTCTGCAGGCCAATGTGATGTTTTGGGTTTAATTTCATCTTTGAGGAAAGTCCAATTCAAAACACGCTCATAGCTTTGGCTGATACAATGCAAACCTTTCTGAATTTGATTTGATAATCTGGTCAGATTTCAATCTAATCTGACCAGAACAAATCGACCCTCTAAACTGTGCCTTCATATTGTGTAGATTTCAGCAAAGAGGAGAGATCATTTGTATCTAAACACGTTTTAAAGACACTTTCCTGCTTCCTGCTTCCTCCTGATTGGATTGTAAACCAAACAGAAGATCAGGTGCATCATTAACCCTCGTACAAAAGAAGAGAAAGCGAAGAGCTGACCACTGAGAATATCAGGCTGAACACACAAAACACGTTTGTCCTTTTAGTCACGATTCAACCGTTCTGAGAGACGTAAGGGTTTCTCTGCTCAGTAACCAATAACAGAAAATATTTATTCCACGGTAGAAATGTCCAGTTGCACTCTGACAATTTAAACATACCTGTGTATTCAATCAATAAGATCGTATCGGCCTGCAGAGCTCCTGCACAAAGCTACAGAATGACTCCCAATCGTGGCAATGACAAAAAATTGAAGTAGAAACATTGCCTTCAGTCGTGGCTTGATTGAAAAAAATGTTGTTGTTTTTTTATTCAGTTTAAAGACTTTTTGAATTGTCTTTTCAGGGGAAACCAATTCTCTGGGACAAAACTTCCCCAAAAAGATGGAACCAAAAGAAAAAAGTAAAAACATTTCTTTATTCAAACAGACAAATTTAGTGGTGATTTAATTCCTGGTGTGGGGGGGGGGAGGGTGCCGCGCCATCTTCAGAATTACAGCTCAGCGAGCCGTAACATTACAGAATCAACTATCTGCATCACAGTAACAAAAAGAAACTCCTTTAAAATGTATCGAACATGTAAATTTACACTGCCGATTAATCATCAGTTCACATTAGTTGTTTTTTTTTCAAATCTACAAAGAAATTACAAAAATGTAACCTTAAATTTTGTCTTGAAAATAGTATAAAATGTCTCGTCATAGAGGGACCTCAGAATACAATGTGAGCAGAGTGTCAGTGATGGAGAGCGCAGAATGAAGGGGGGGGAGGGATGGATTTAAAAACGCTGAGCGTGATGTTTCTGTTTGACCGTTTGCATTCTCAGGACTTTCATGTTACACTGGTTGACTTTGATTTCATCCTTTATCACCTCTACTGGGTTACTTACAGCATAAACTCCCTGTATTGTAAATTCACATAGTGCCCGTTTATTGTCTGATTTGGGGATTACCTTTGGATCAGCCAGTAGGATTCAACATGAGTAAAATATGAAACCTCCAGCAGCTGCAGGTTAAAAAAAATCTTCTTACACCAGAGCCAAGGGACAGAGACCATCCCACTGTAGAAACAGATCAAGTGGCAAAACTTTGACAGAATAGTTTTAACTTACATTTTCCCTCTTCATTCACCGTATGACAACTTGAGAAAATAAGACCTAATTGCCTAAACAGGAATTGCAAGTATGTCCAAAATCCCAACTAAAGAGACCTTAGGGCATTTGACAGAGTTGTTCAGTTTCTGTCTTTTAGGAGACATTAACAAGCACACATTAGTCTACCAAGGCAGGAAAACTTCAAACAGGTAGAGACGTCAAGTTTAACTGGACTCACTGGTGGTTAGCTGTCTGCCACAAGCGGCCAATGGTTGCTGTCTTTTAAAGTTCGATGTAGACCTCTTTAGGGCGTCTACAATGTGTTATTAAAGTGACTCAAACACTTTAGGCTCCTCTCTGCTAACGAGCACACACAGTCACATATAGTTAAGATTTAACACCGGTCACTAGTTACATGTCGTCAATGTCCAAAGATCTGATTGTGATTATTTTCAGGTTATGAGGGAGGGATTTTAGCTGGACTGTCTTTGCTGAATCGAACTCCATAAGACTATGACATAGTTATCTCACTCAGTGAACCATCTTATGTCAGGGCTGAGTCCAGTGACTTGAGGCTTGTGATGGTGAGTCAGGTTAGAAATGAGGAAACTCACTGAAGTCTTTAAAGCATCGATGTGAAGGAGGACACCACATTGTGTGACTGACTATTTGAGTTGTGTTGAAGCCTACTGGCTGAGAACAGTTTGAAACCTGGGAGCCAAATTATTGTTGATTAACTTAAAACTCAGAACAATTTTGAGAAAGTGAAGTCGTCTTTCTATCAAGTAGCAGTTTTTAACTTCAGACAGGAAGCTGAGGTGAAAGCATGTCGAGAGAACAGAAAAGGATAAAAGCCTCCAGATCACATAGTTCACAGAGGATCTGTTTTTAAAGCATCCAGATGTGCCTCATCTGTTCCATGAGGCCCAAAAAGAGATCCAGAGTCCCCTGCAGAAAAAAGCGGCACATGAATTACTGCATTCTGAAGTCTCCTGTAAGACCCCCCACTCAAAGCTTCTAGCTACTGCAATCACATGCAGCTGAACCTTCAGGACGCCACGTTGGTTTGAAATCATGACGAGGACACGGTTTGGGGTTGCATGTCTGAGCGTGTTTCTTTGTATTTTCTTCTCCAATGGATCAAACTCTGACCTGCGCCAGCCCCCTGCCCCTCCCCCAAAGATAAAAAATATAAAAACATTGAAACAAGAGATCTGAAATTTAAAAAAACTAAGTGCCATCCTATATTATGGTGGAGGAGTTGATATGTCTGCACAATGAGATCCAACTAGTAACAAAGATCAACACTTTTTTCATTGTTTTTCATTTCGAGGACGATGAGCATGGTTTAAAGATCAAAAAAGAAAATTAGCTTCCAAATTTTGGTACATATACGGATCTGTAACTTTTTTTTTGTCTATGAGTTTTTTTTGTCTTTTTTTCCACTGCGTCCCTTCTGCATCTCTGTAAGAGTCTGCACAGATAGAGAGGGGCGCCTCCATCCGCCCGTTTATCAGTCCGTCTGTCTGTCTGTCCTTCTGTTCCTCCCCGTGTCTGGACCTGCTGTGTCGGGTGCTTGCTTCCTGTTCCTGTTTCCTGCTTCCTGTCTGTCGGTGGGCGGGGCCGTAAGCGTGAGCAGTACGCAGGGCAGGCAGGGACAGTCATTTGGCTATGTACACATTCATGGTCGGTCCATGGCTTCCAACAAACAGCAGTACTATTTCCGAAGGTCTAGCACACACACCTGAGAGAGAGAGAGAGAGAGAGAGAGAGAGATTACCTGCAGCTCTGACACAGAACGATCACAGACAAAGTCAGAGATCACTAGAAATGCATCCAATCAGAGCAGAGTAGACTTACAGATCCGTCCGACGCGCTGGCTCCCACTTTGTCTCCCGCTGCATTCCAGCAAACCTCAAAGATTCCCCCCGTCCCTCTGTAACTGTGGACTAAAGCGCCCGTCTGCAGCACAGGAGATAGAAGAGAGTGAGAGGGGAAGAGAGATAAGAGGTCGGCTGTGGGTTATATTCTGAAAAGAAAACGCAAATTCCCTTTTTTTTGCTTTCAAACTCATAACTCAAGAAAGCAATTGGCCGTTCAGTAAAGACACAAAACTGCAGTTTAATTATTTGGCCACTTGGTGGCAGCAGTGACGCATGTTCACCTCCAAGAAGATAGGTTCAATTTATTATATCAGAATAAAACCTTTTTCAAGCAAACACAGGAGTATAACGATAGAACGGACAATACAGAATACACTAGAGACAAAACAAGCAGAATAAAATAAAAACAAAACTGAGGTCAAACTAAATAACAAGATTCAACAATACGGTAAGAATTATAAATAGACCCAGTAAAAGAGAAAGGGTCTGTCTATACGTAGAGGAAAGAAACCGCACTGACATTGTTTGAAAAATAAGAAATCTGAGAAAATGAAAACTTTTTTTTTTTTTAAATAAGCGAAATGACAAAGAACATATCTTATCCCATCAGAAGGACGGCAATACATCAATGCTTTTTTAACCAACTTCCTCAGAAACAAAGGGAACCATGAAGGGAGTCTGAGCAGAGCTTAAGTTAATTGTTCTCTTGCATCTTTTCTTATGATACTCAATCTAATCCTGACTTTGTTTGGTATCTAGTAAATAACCTTATCTACTGTGGTCTGTCTGTGGTCATATAATGGACAAGATGATTTTATCAGAGGTCAGTTTGAAGCGATAGCAGAAATATAAGTTCAATGAGGCTGAGAAGTTTGGACCCGGATAGAGTGGTGTCGTACAACCTTCAGCGTACCCAACACTTGTACACTAGAATAATGAAAACCTGAGTGATACTTGAGTTTCTATCACGTTTAACGTCACAGTTAAGCTCCTTTTCAATGTTATTTGGTTTACACCCATCCAGTGAAAACTGCATCACGACCTGCAGCTGTACATTTATATCTATGATAATTGCCTGAAGTAGTGTTACATCAAATAGTTTTAAAAAACAGTCTGAACGACACCTGTACTGTCCTGCAGAACTCAAACATTCACATACAGTTCAAAGGCTTTGATGAGTTTAATCAACTATCATACCAGGGCATCCCTTACTGTCACAGAAACTCGAGGTAATGTAGACCCCCATCCCCCCCTTCCTACCTGTGTATTCCAGATGTGCACACATTTGTCGAAGGAGCCACTGGCCAGATGCCGACCATCGGGGCTAAAAGCCACGCTGTAGACCGGCTCCTGGTGTTTAGTCAGCGTGTGGATACAGATGCCCCTCTCCACGTCCCAAAGACGCACTGTGGAGTCAAACGATGCACTGTGGGAGTGGGAGACAGAGACGGACAGGGTTAGAAGATGTGGGGGTAATGGATCATGAGGCTTGTTTAAAAAATGTAGCTTTAGCATCCTTAACTAATTTCAAAGGTTAATGGTGAATATTGTCAGTTTGTATGCATGAAAGTAGGCCTGCTCAATGAGAAAATTCTGTCCCAGATGTCACTTATGGTATTGGGTTAGGTAGAGTTAGCTAAGATGTCACTTATTCCTTTGGACACCTAGCTAGCGCACCACCACTGATGCTAACACAGAGCCACTCACCTGGCTAGCATGAGATTAGCGCTGGGATTGTTGGTTCCAGGGCCGGTTGGACTCCATTTAATGGTGTAGATTTCTTTACTGTGAGCCTGAAGGTCGTGGACACATGAGTCCTGTTTCATACTCCAAATCTGAAAAGAAGTCACGCAGAAGTCAGCAACTTTGACTCAAGCCAAATGTAAAGTGCATACGCATGTGGCCTGCAGCACACAGTTAAAACAGCTGTCTACAGTAATGTTATCACTTGATGTCACTATCACTCTGTGACTTATTTACTTCTTAGTAAAGTTTTCTAACCGCAGATTAACAACAGCAAGAGATGGAGATATTTAATTAAAGCAAGGAAAAAACAAACTGGGTGACAATGTATTGCTTTGTAGTCAGCCTTTCAGCTCATTGAGAAATAATGAACTTCCTGTTTGAATGTTATCAAAGAAAAACCAGATATCAACAGTAGAGAGGCCAGAGAGATGGACTTTCCCTCTCCTTGTTGACTAAGCACTTCTAGGTCGAGGGTATCAGTGACAGTGGTATTGATGACACGGGATGTCTAATGTGTCATCAGACCCACAGCTCACCTTCAGCGTCATGTCGTCAGAGCAGGAGGCGAGGAGGTTCCCTGTGGGATCCCACTTGATTGCATTTACTTCATTCTGGAGAGAGAGGGAGAGAGATAGAGAGAGGAGATGAAAAGTGTGTTACATAGTGCTTTTGAATTGAAGGCAGGAGGCTAGAAGGTAGCCTTATTAAGAATATATGTATAGATTATGTTAACACATTGTTGATCTCCTTTTGGGTTTATTGGATCTTTAAAGACGAGATTGTAGTGTAACTTTACACACACTCAGTAGAGCTGCAGGACATGAAGAACAAACTGTTATTGGGGTTTCTCTTTCTTCTGATATATTCTAATATAGTTCAATCTCTGCGCTGACAAAACAAAAAGATATCAGACTCTTTTAAAGTAGTTACGGTAAATGAGAATCTGTGAGTTTTTTTCTTTTAGTGTCAAAGAAAAAACAAATAGAAGGGTTTGTTTGTTAATTGTCTTGACATCCCATCCAATATCATCAAACCAAAACAGAGCAGCTTTGGTTCAGACTGACGGGAGAGATTAAAGGTGTAATATTTCATTTTTACAGTTCAATATCTAAATGAGTACTTACATTACTCAAATATTTCCAATAATTACATAAGCAAGAGAAATCCTTAATTTCATAGTTGTAACGGGACGTGTCTTTCGTGGCAGCCACCATGAAAGACACAAATTGTTTATTGTTGCCATGGAAACAGGAGATGTTATGTCAAAGACCACTATATAAGGAAGCATGGATTGCTTCTGAAAGCTGTTGTATGTACTGCTGTGATGAAAACATCTTGTAAATTATACTTGGGATACATCGTCTGTTAATATTCTCTTCCTTAGGTCTCTCGTTCATCTTGACTATGATCAACTCTGAGTTTTTGTAGATTTGGGGGGCTGCAGCAGAGAGAATCACTCCCATGATTAACCGCCAGCCTCGATCTTCATCTCTTGTTATTGTTTTGATCGAGAGCCCCCCCTGGTGGTGGAGTTTACATACTGTTCACAGAGCAAACATCACTTACTGTGTGTCCCTGGAATGTTTTGATGGGTCTGTCCTGTCCCAGTTTACAGACGTGGATGCACATGTCTGTACTACAGGAGGCAAATGTGTTGTTGCTCTGCCAGTCAACGTCTAGCGCTGGAGCTGTTGGAGACAGACGGACAGACATTAGACGGATCAAAAATAATCTGACAGGCATAACATCATGGTTAGAAATCCTTAAAAAGTGAAGATGTTAGTCATAAGAAGAGATGCTGTTGTACCTGAATGGAAGGGAAACTGTTGTTTGGCTTCTCCTGTATGGGCATCCCAAATGATTGTAGTCTGGCAGGGAACATATTCATGCACAGTTAGAGCTAACACAATCTACACAGGACAGTCATTGGCTTGTTCAATCTATTTAGCAGAACAAAGATCTCCTGTTTACCTTGTCTACTCCTGCACTGAGGATAAAATTGCCTTTTTTATTCCACTTAAGCGCAAAGATGGGACCTTTGTGTTGGCCAAGTGTACTGGCCAGGTTTCCTATGAAGCAAAACAAACAAATGGGACAAAATCGAGTTTAGTATCAAACCTGGAACAACAACAACAATTAGCCTTTAGGGTTCTAATTAAGAAAGCACCGAAAAAATACAAGCCTGGCAAAGTGACTTGGCTGCAGTACGCAAATCTGCCTCTAGCCGGCAGTGCTGTTCAAGGATATACTTAATGCCATGTGGCATTTAGTCTGTAGTACTGAAGATGCACCAAAATAACATGAGAAAAAAAAATACAAACCACAATCATTGCAAGAATTTCCAAAGAGACACACTTTAAATATTTACTTTAAAGAAACGCTTTAATTATCAAGAACTCCAAAATGGAGTTTCATCGCCTTGATCTTTAATTTAGCTTCCTTCAGGGTAAATAATACATGCTTATGTTTAATGAATCAAAGCCATCTCACCATCCTTCGTCCATATTCTGGCAAAGCCGTCATAGGAGCCTGTTGCTAACAGCGTGCCCTCGCTCTGTCAAAAGAGAAACACAGAACAGTGTGAGGGGATTTGATTTTTTTTTTTTTTTGCAGTTGCAGTATTTGCATTTCCCAGTCCTGGCTCACTGAGATGAGCTGTGATTCAGCTGCTATCATCAGAGAGGTTCTGTGTTTTCCATTAGCGTGGATGCTTTCCAGGAAATGTCTGCCTCTGCCCCTGGCTCAGTTTTACAATCCACTGGTTTGACTAAAGGAAAATTCCCCTTTCAGATCCACTTCCACTGTTAAGACACCATAGACACTAATGTTCAGAGTGCTCATGTCTATTGAAATGAGCCTTTCTGGGGAAAAAAGGAGCTGTGTGTTTTGTTATTAAGGCAGTGCGTTTAAGTGTTTAAATGACTGCAGTGATTAACAAAACAATCATAAATGTGTTGTGACGCAGCATGCTTATTATGAAAGAGCACTTTGAAAAGAAACACTTCACCACAGCGTTGACCTGGTTCCATATTTTGATTTAAAGCACCCGTGGAGGGTGACTCACACGTTACATCATGTGTGTGTGAGTGTGTGTTAGCGTTCTTACATTCCAGTCTAGCGAGGTGACGTCTTTGTTGCTGGGGACATCCTGTCCTCCCTCTCGTATGCAGTGTCTCAGCACCAGCTGTGTGGAGCTGCTTGTACTGTTCTCGCTCAGGTTCCAGATACGAGCTGTCGAATCCCCAGACCTGAGATACACACAGACATGCATAACGTATAAGCCATGTCATTAAGACTTATATTACCCCCAACAGGATGGTATGTGAAAGAGTATGATTGATTGATCTCTAATGGGAGCTATGATCTTTGGACTGTAGTTAGGACTGAGGGGCATCCCTGTGGCTGAGGGATTAAGACGGCCACGTTAGAACCAAAGGCTTGGTTGAGGTCCAGCTTTGGATCTGTGTTGCATCTCTATCTATCTTGTTTGCCATGGTCTCTGTAGTGATGCTGCCTAGGGCTCATGTGTAGAACAATTATGGTGCTTATGCACTTGAGCAGTGCTTTTTTGTTTGAGGGACAAGTTTTAGGGTATAAAAGGAAGGAAAAGTGAAGTCGACTTACCCCGATGCCAGCAGATCACTGACAGGGTTCCAGGCACAGATGAAGACCTCTGATTCGTGGCCCCTCAGGACCATGGCTTTGTTCTGAGGGATCTCTACATCTCCATCCACCTCCATCAGGTCTGCATGGTTGTCTGAGCAAAGAGATGAATGGGGATTCAAGTTAACAAAGATCTGCAATGACATGACCTTGGTCATTGCCGGTAACTAAGCGACTTAACGCTTTTCATTACTCATCTTAACTCACTAGCTAAGGTATGGGCTCCATTCTCCTCCCCATTGGCAGTATTCTCTCCGTTCTTGGCGTTGCCAGCTATGCTGCCTCCAGTGGCCGATGCCGGTGCTGACGCGGCGGCCTGCTGCTGGGCCATTTTGTCCCGGTACGCCTGCTGCCTCGTCTGAACAACGTCAGGCATCACAGCATCGATCAGGGACAGAGACTCTATGGGCCGCCCATCAAATAATGTGCCGTCCTGCAGAGCGAATGAAATAAGCAGAAGGTTAGAACAGAGGCGAGCAGAGAGAGGCAGAGACTTTTTTTTTTAAACATTTGATTGGCATCGTACCTCATTGATGCTGACTTCTGCCTCGACGTACTGCAGGCCCTTCTGGATGATGCTGATGAGGGCAGCAGGGGGAACCAGAGCACCATTGATGTTTGACTGGCTTATGTGACTTTCTATACCAAACGTAAACGCTGAGTGGGAGAACCCTGAGAGGACGACACGGGGAGAAAGAGGGCAGGGAAGGAGAACAAAATTAGCCTACAATAATTTAATCAATTACTCAATCACAGGCTTAAGGGATTTCCCTATAATATCTATTATTCATGTTAAACTGTATGATGTGACAACTAAAATGTCTTTAATCGACTAATGTCTTTAGCACATTGATAATGATGAACTTTTCCAACACTGTCTTTATTTTTTCACTATGCTGTCCAATGGTTTCAATGACTTCAACTCAACGGAGCTTACACAGATAGTTACATAGATGACTATTGATAATATTAGATATACCAACAAGACAATATCTCCCTACTACTTGTGCCCAACAGTAAAATACTGTATGCGTTGTTTTCTCTGCCACATGGCCATTGACTATCGAGTCTCTCCTGTCAGGGGGTTAGAATATAATTGAATGCAAACATCTACAGTGAATGTACACATTGACTGATATTGGTATTACTAAAATACATTTTAGGTTGTTGTGGTTACTCTCAGCACTCGGAGAACACACTGTCTATATATCTCTAAAATATTGCTGTCAGTCCAAAGCACAGGTATTCATTTACATTATTACAATGCTGAGCCTTAAGATTGGTCTGAATTCTACAGTTAATACATTTGGTGCAAAATAATTCTTAGTCTCCTGCTGTTTGACTCTTTGCATCAGCTTTACATTTGTCGATTTAGACACAAAAAAAAGACACTGGATTGAAAAATCACATTTTGAAAAAAGAAAAAGCAAAACCATTAAAATAAGTTAATCAGCAAAACATAGAGCAAACACAAGTAGTTGAAAGGGTACCTGACTCCTGTAGGTATCTGTAGACCAGGAAGTTGACCTCATCACTGCTAATGCTCATCTTTACTCCAGTTACACCATGAGGTCAGCACGCACACAGCTAGCCTAGAACAAATAGAGCGAGAGATTCATCAGTGAAGGGACACGCTCAACAGTTACTGTCAGTCGATGCGCACACACACAACATGTATAAAGAGAAAGTGACGTTTATATCTTTTGTAAAGTGTCTTGAGATAACATTTGTTTTGAAATGGCGCTACAAACAAAGATTGATCGATAGACTGACATGACTGATGTTTGATAAAGATAGATCAGATATTGCATGATTTGTTTGAAGTATATTAAATGATTATTTCCTAATCATCCCTTTGTTTAAAATGATTTCCCTTCCAAAGGACAAATGAAATAAAAACAGCTTCTGACCTACTTTAGCCTTTTCTAGTTTAAGGTGTACTTCACAGGAAGATGTCCTACAAAAAAATATGTTGAGTCATAAATAAGTACAAAGATCTCTAACAGACCTATCTTGCATTATTTTTTGCATTTCTGTATCCTTGATTCTGTTTGAATACAACATGTTAAAATGTTTCAACACAGCTGGGTAAAGCAGGAAGTAATGTTTGAAAAGACCCAAGTTAGACCATTTATATATTTAGTTAGTTAAACAGGAGTTGGTCATAAAACATGACGACAAACCTTCTATACTGTAGGACCCTGTCAATGAATATTAGAGAAGTGTTTATTGTCTCTATTATTGGAATGTTATATTTGAACTGTTTGTTTTATACCCAACGTTTAATTCAGCATTGTATGATTATCTTCCGGGTCACTTAAATCCTTTTCAAGAATTTGAGGGCCCTCAGGGCAGTGTTTTGGTGTCTGTTAATCTTTCAAATCATTGATAATTCTTCGGAATCATCATTGTGTCATCTAAAAGCAATATGCCCCAATCCAACCAAACCATTTGCAGTTTTTTTTGCATGTGTGTGGCTGTTTTGGGGTAAGCGATTAACTTCCCTCTTATTAAAAAGACTACCAAAATCCTTCCTCCATCACTCACATCAACCTGGCTATGTCATAGCGCCCCCTAATAAGACCACATCCTGCATTAATTCCTTTAACATACTATGTTTATTAATCCGCCCGCCTCCTCAGCCTGTACAGAATATTGCTATCAAACCACAATGTAGAACCAATCGAGTTAACAATTGCCCAGCTGAGTATTCAGACCCATCTGGCATCAGGAAAATCCATTATACAATAATCTAAGATCAGATTTCTCAACAGGTTCCACCTAGACATGACAGCATTTCCCAGCAGTCACAAAAGCACATTTACCAGTTTAACTGTGGTTTAGATGAGTCATGCATTGTATTACAACTCTTCCCGGTCCCAAAAACTTGAATGTTTTAAAGCCTTGAAATGTTGAAATGCAGCAGATAATGAAAGTTGCCGTATTTCCAATAAGCGTCTAATTGTCTTCATTGGAACTCCAACATTTAATAACCACAACTTACACCTGGTGCTTTTTATTTCCATTTCATATTAATTAATTATGATTAACACTGCAGCCAAAACTAAATGGTAAATGGACTTGAGCTTGTACAGCACTTCTCTAGGCTTCTGACTACTCAAAGCACTTTTACACCAAAAGGCCACACACGTTCACACCCTGATGGAAAAGGCTGCTATGTTAAGTGACTATCAGTAACTAATCTCATTCATACGCCTCTGAAGAAGCAGCGGGAGCAACTTGAGGTTAAGCATCTTGCCCAAGGACACATCAGACAGAGCGGCATCCCCGACCTTCCAGTTGAAAGATGACCCAAATAATGACCTGAATCTGATATTTATTGCTCCTTTGTGATCTGATACAGGCCACTTTTAAAAAGTAATATACAAACAAACCAATCAGAATACAGCATTAAGGCTTGCAGTTTACATTAGCTTGTGAAGTAATTCAGTAAATGTACTGATAACATATATTTTATTTTGTGAACATCCACCTGATCATTTCCTTTTTATCTAATAAACCAATTTAGGCACCTATCCAACTACAAACTACTCAAACAGGAAATAAGGGTGGGGAAAAACCAATCAGGACCAATCCCCTCAAGCAGTATGACGCCTTCTGTTGTGTGTCCAAGCACATTTCAGGGGAATGGTGATTCTAATATTGCTTTTGTCTGTGGTTTCATGAACTAAAAATAGTTGTGAACCCACAACTGTAGAATCTCACAGGGAGACAGCCAGAGAGCCCATTCCAAATAAGGACCAAAGGCTCAAAGCCCATCTCCCCTGAGAATAATCAGCCGTGTAATGCCTGGAGCTCGGTTTCTGCAGTTCCCTCTCTGAGGAGAAGCAGGCTTTCTGTGCATTTAATGGTATTTAAGTGGATGAAACACTCTCCTGGGTACTGTGAGCACTAGGTTGCATTTCATTTCCCAGAATGTTAAGATTTTTGTCGTCTGGAACGGCAAGACATTTAGCACGACCTGTGGCCTTACTACTGCAGAATGACAAACCCAGCAGAGATTAGTAAGGATCAAACTGTGCAAACATTATTTTTACATATTACACAGTGATGCTAATATGTTTTTGTACTCTATAAAGGTAATAAAAAAGATGAGACGGACTCATCTTTCTATACAACCTGAGGGTGAAACTGTCCCTGCAGCACCAAACTGGATACAGTTGCACAATACACAGGACTTTTGTGAAGTAAGAGAGCAAAGGTGTGTCTACCTCCTTTGAGGTTTTTTATTTTTTTTATTTTTTTTTTTACTAACCCTGCATAGTCAGTGTAACAATAACATTAAACACAGCAACAAGCTGAGACCCAGTTGCATCACCTGCACATGAGATAAGGCAGACCTGTTTAGGGAACGTGTCCATGCCTGGGAGGCAGGCAACAAACCTGTGCCAAAATAGTAGGAAAGGAGGTGATAGCTGCGATGTTGTCTCAGAGACAGTTATCTGTTCAGTGTCTCTAGTGAGACAGGAATACGTTTTCCACAGACCGGGCATCAGCAGGGAGCGGACAAAACATAACAGACGACCTCAGACAAGGACTTCAGCCTCAAAGTGACTTAATCACATCTAATACTGCGACAAAAATCTGAACAGGAAAATAGTAAGTTGTTACTGTAGACCTATTATTAAATCATGAACAGCTGGAGGGCTCCTTCCACTTCCAATTTACAAGACTGCAAACAGTTCAGCCTCAACCAGCTTTCTAACATGCCACACCCTGCACGATGATCATCCAAAACACAACACAAACAGCAATGCACTGCATCGAAACAGAACTGTTTTTAGATACTGTGTCTGGTACATGTTAACAGCTTTCATTTTCAAGGCTGTGGTTTGTGATGTTGTATAAAAAATAACCAGAATGTGTTTCCTTTTTTTATTGGGGATGAACCAGAGAAACGCTAGTTTGGTCCGATATCGGCCCTGTTGACAAACACCAGCCCACAGGAAAATAACGTGGCATGGGCTAATGCTATAATATAATAAGAACAACCGTTTAAATATGACACAGTGGAATTCTAGATGACAATTAACTACAGCCTCGAATCAATGATTCATCCTTAATGTCCTGCCACAAAAAAGGACATCATCGGTCCAGCTCGCTGCCCTAGTTTTTGTGGTGTGTCCAGCTCAGTCGCTACCCGTCGGCCCCCTTCAGCCTTTTTTTTGGCCGATTGACAAGTGGAATTGGCGTTGGTCAGCAAGGTTGGTGAGAGGAATCACTCTGATTGGCTGTTCGGAGCGTTCAGCTCTCGACACACATTCGGGAAAGCCCCTTGAGCATGCTGCTGTGTAGTATCCATGCTGTCATCCATGTAGTGCGGTTTGTTCTTATTTGTCGTCTCTGCCTCTTTTCTTCTTCCACCTGAAGACCAAGGACTATGTACGTGGTGATTAGCCATCTGTTGTAGTCTTTGCGGTGTGTTCCAGTGAAACTTTTTTGCCAAGACGTGAGGCGACGCACCAGTCGGCCTTCATGGCAACTAGTTCTTTGCCGTCTGCCTGGTCTGTCAGGGCCTTTATTCCATTGTGTTTCTGTTTGTCCCTCACAGAGACCATCATTTAACAAGAACGATCACTGAGTCAACATACATGAGTTAATAAGCACACTGACCTGGTAATTGTCTCCTGATGAAATTTGATTTAGCCGTATAAAATGTGTGAATTTACTGTGAAGTTTAGTAACAATTGAGTTTATTTCTTGCTCTACGACAGCAATGAAAGGGTAGATTTAGGCCGTAGAGCATGCACACTGTAGTTTAATTGTAATTAATCCATCACACAAAAGCAGCTGATATGATCAGTACACTGAATAAAAGATGGGAGGTGGAGTAAAAATAAAACGACCTGCTGTTGTGTTTGGTTGAAATAAAAAACCTGCAGACTGTTGAGTCACAAATCACCAGACCCCTCAGCTCAAATCCCATCTGACAGCTGCAGAGCCAGGGGAGGACAGGACAGCCTGGGTTTGTAAACACAAAGCTGTAGTTCCCTGCCACCACCATCCCACTGCAGTGGTGCTGTTGAGCCACCATCTGCAGGCAGGATCCTCTGTGTTGACAGTGTGGGAGAGCAGAGGGGGGATGGGCGCAGAGAAGGGAATCTCTGTCTCTGCATTTCTTTCCCCCCTCCCCCTCTCTCTTTCTCTCTCTCTCTGTCCTCCTCCCATTGTGACAGCTGCCAGTTGCAAACTGGCCTTTACAGTAACTCTTAACAGGTCCCAGCACAATGAGAGAGGGGGTGAGGGGGAGAGAGAAACCCACAAAGACAATCAATCAACAGCAAAAGAAAATCAAGACATGGCAATTGAATCCAGACGGCATATAACCTGTTTGCTAACCATGACATGAATTCGTATTGATGAGACGAGGAAGGTTCTGTCGGTCACAATATGAAATCAATATGGCTAAGTAAATCATATTTGCCCCGGGTTATCAGCCGGCATACATAATTTATTAAGTCAAACACAGGCTAATGAAACATCCAATCAAAGGCTTTAGCTCAGTCAAAGAAGTGTGATAAAAATAAACTACACCTGTTCAATATGCTGCCATGTTCCACTTCCTGTCACA